TACCCAAAGTTCAAGGCAAGGGCAAAGCAATCTTCTGGTCCAAGGAGTTAGAGGATAGGAAACGAGCTGTGCACAAACTGCTTGGTAGGAGCGCAGGAGACGCTCTCCCCAATGGGAAGACTACAAGAAGGCGTTGCAGGAATACAAAAACTATATTAGTAGAGCCTCCAGAGAATCCTGGAGGAACTTCAGTCAGTCAGTCCATTATTGATATTCCTGCTACAGTTATATTATACAGAATCATAGGCAAAGATACTAAAGCAATATTGGGGTCTCTGTATGATCCCTTGGGAGGTCATACTTCTTCCGAGAAAGGTATTCTGAGCCTTTTGGTAGATTCGCACTTTCCCAGTTCAACAGTAGCACAATCACAGAATGCATGCCGCTGCGCAGGGGAGGACTGGCACATTGCAAGGGAGATTGTCACCTTCAAAAGGATGGTATGGACGATCGATTCGTTTGCTCCATACAAAAATCCGGATCTGGAAGGCGTATTTCCGGCCATGTTACAGCACGGGCGGGATTCGGTTGTTTCTTACCTGTTGAAGGTGTTTCAAGCATGTGGCATAACACGTTAATGCGCCTTCTGGACGTGATAGAGAATCCCTTGTGTGAGCGCTGCGGGGTAGAGGAAGAGACCTCGGGGCACGTTCTGTGTCGCTGTGAGGCTCTGAGCTACTAAAGGCAGACTATACTGGGGCCCATCACTTTGGACCCCAGAACGTTAAGCAGGTTGGACTCAAGGGCATACTCAACTTTACTAAAATGGCGAGGCTTGAGGTCTAAGGAATGTAGAGGTGCACAAGGGCCCGTTTAAGTGGCCGATGCGCCGGCTCCTTCTAGTGGCCGGTATGCCTCTAATTCCATGATTCATTCAATCATTACCCATACGTGTTTAGACCTTAGGCCTTCATGGTGGTTGGAGTTTAAAAAATCATTAGCTTTAGAAGTGAATTTGAAAAAATGCTACTAAAGGATCCTCAAAATAATTCCTCCTATTTCTCTGTAGTATAGAACTATGTGTAGTTTAAGAAATCATCGTTATGACGCATCATATGTGAATATCTTTCTTACGCTGGGGTAAAAAATGGCATTGTCATCACTCAGCCCTTTGGGGTATTAATATGTATTTTGAATTGGTATATACTCCAGTAAACATTATTATTATTGTTAGCCAAGACGAACCATGAAAATCCGAGATAATCTGTGGATAATGTTTCTATCTGCATATCCAGGCAGTATAAAAAAATAGCCGAAACTTCGAATATCCGTTTTTTCAGAAGTCTGATTGGAGGAGTATTCTTAATACTTTTAGTTTGATTGTTTCATGTTGTGTATAGAAAAACTGATAAACAATATTACCAATTACTTTCTGTGAAAAATAAGTTGCTTTGTATTACTTTAACACGTGTATTGGATACTTTTTACTGACGTTTCGGCCAACACGGGGACCTTTTTCAAAGTACATTGATTCTGTTCCATACTCGTGCGGTCTATGCATATAAGGGGTTCAGCGGGCCAACTGTATCACGACTATGACTGAAGTAATCACGTAAAACAATGAAAAATAGTATTTGGGTGGCTCACTCACCCTAAGTCACGTCTATATTGGATTTCAAACCTTTTTTGCAGCTTCAGGTTTTTTCGCTGTTTCAGTTGGATCTACTATTGAGTCTCGCTCTGAGAACAAAGCACCAAAATATCGTAGATATTAAGAGGCAATTAGCTCGAATGACAGTATTAATTTTCATTGTAGTAAGCACATTATGTTTAGAGTATATCGGCGATGTATTTTGACATCACCGAATTTCTGGGCCTATTATTATGCGGAGGTGTCGCTATGAGAGCCTAAATGCACATACAATTCCAATATAATATTTATCGAAAATAAATGCCGGTGAAAAAATACAAGTATTGCGTTTTGGATTAGTCATTTATTGTTAAAAACATGTAAAGTAAGTAGAAAAGCAGGAATGGTGTTTTAGTAAAATTGATTCATTCACCACACAGAGTCAAAAATTTGGAACCATATTAGTTCGAACAGAACATATAATTTATTGTAACTGTACTTTTTGAAAATTCAATACCTAAGATATTAAAAATAGCTTATATAATAGTGCTAAAATTTTCCTATTTCAACAATATTTATTAGCGACATCGTGATAGCGGTGTTATTATCAACTGATATTAATAGAAATTTGTTCCAAGAATATGAATATTGGTGTTAGGCCTTCATAATATTTACAACATAAAAAATATATCTTCATCTGTATATAGGACAACAACAAATTTGGGCTATATATATATGTTACCGCTAATATCCAAAATCTGCTAATATGCATAAAAACTACACATAATAGGAATTATGCGTAAATACTAAAACCGTCCGTTAGTATGCAAAATAACGGCGCGTATCAGGAATTATTAATAAGTACTAAAATAATCAGTTATGATGCATATTCACTGTCCAAATTAGAAATTATGCGTACATACTGAAGCTACCAATATCTTATGTTAGTGATTAAGCATAATATCACGTAACGTCATTAACTAAGTAACGTCAAATTTGAAATGCTATGTAGTTAATGATAAAATAGAAATATATTTCGAGTAAGTATACTATTACATAACATTTAATATATATGTAATTCTACAAAACTATATGGTATGCATAGATGAAAATCAAACATATTCAGGAATCAGAACGAAAAAAAAAACATAACCGTAGCATTTCAAACCACTACATAAAAATTATTTATATTATTATATTTATATTTATTTATTGGAACAAGAAGAGCTTTGATGGCACTTACTATTGCATAATCGATTATTTTTTTTACCGCGGCAGGTATTGCTTTGGCAGAATTTTGTGCAATTTCATCGTTGATAACCTTGTGTAATATTCGAATACTGTTTGGACATAACATAACATCAAACTTCAACGCACGCTTCAAGGCACGACCAGTCGTATTTTGTGAGGTTACATGCATAATCACTAATATACACAGCAGATCTTATGCATAATTCCTATTGCTGTGTCAGTTATTATCAATATTTACTAAAAATATGGCGATACTTTGCATAATTACTGACGATTTTAGTAGTTATCGATAATTCCTGATACGCGCCGTTATTTTGCATACTAACCGACAGTTTTAGTATTTACGCATAATTCCTATTATGTCTAATTATTATGCATATTAGCGGATTTTGGATATTAGCGGTAATATATATATATATGCATAATAATTAGACATAATAGGAATTATGCGTAAATACTAAAACTGTCGGTTAGTATGCAAAATAACGGCGCGTATCAGGAATTATCGATAACTACTAAAATCGTCAGTAATTATGCAAAGTATCGCCATATTTTTAGTAAATATTGATTATAACTGACACAGCAATAGGAATTATGCATAATATCTGCTGCGTATATTAGTGATTATACATGTAACCTCACAAAATACGACTGGTCGTGCCTTGAAGCGTGCGTTGAAGTTTGATGTTATGTTTTGATTGTTTTGTTGTTGGAGTTTCTCATCGCAATGACTGCACTACCTACTGATAACATTAAATTTAAATTTGTCGATGAAGTTAAGAAGTTGAAGGGAAGAACAAACTCACGATTGAACATTTTATTCAAGGAAGAATATGACGTGCTTTTATCCGAGGTAAGAATGATTTTAAACTAATATAGTGCCTATATTTTAACGTTTAATTCCTGATGTTTTTCTCTAGGTTAGGGATGCTTCATCAAATAATGGTCCCAAAACTCCATTACAGTATCGTAGACTTAAAAGATTTGGAATAGTTGAAGTCGGAAATATTGAAAAGCTTGTAACGCAAAATAAAGAGCAAACGGGAAAGGAAAATAATGAAGATTCTAATAATATAGTGATTGACATACGAGATGTTCGCTATGTTGTTCCCGTTGAAGAAATGTTTGATATTTTAACCATTTGTCACAGAAGTATAGGTCACGGAGGAAGAGATCGAATGAAGACCGAAATGTCCAAACAGTATTCGAATATTACACAAGGTTATCAACGATGCAATTGCACAAAATTCTGCCAAAACAATACCTGCCGCGGTAAAAAAATAATCGATTATGCTATAGTAAGTGCCATCAAAGCTCTTCTTGTTCCAATAAATAAATATAAATATAATACTATAAATAATTTTTATGTAGTCTTTTGAAATGTTACGGTTATGTTTTTTTTTTCGTTCTGATTCCTGAATATGTTTGATTTTCATCTATGCATACCATATAGTTTTGTAGAATTACATATATATTAAATGTTATGTAATAGTATACTTACTCGTAATATATTTCTATTTTATCATTAACTACAAAGCATTTCAAATTTGACGTTACTTAGTTAATGACGTTACGTGATATTATGATTAATCACTAACAAGATATTGGTAGCTTCAGTATGTACGCATAATTTCTAATTTGGACAGTGAATATGCATCATAACTGATTATTTTAGTACTTATTAATAATTCCTGATACGCGCCGTTATTTTGCATACTAACGGACGGTTTTAGTATTTACGCATAATTCCTATTATGTGTAGTTTTTATGCATATTAGCGGATTTTGGATATTAGCGGTAACATATATATACGATTCCACAATATGAAAAACGCCTAATTCGCAGTCGTTATTCTGTATGTTTTATAATAGCATAATAACTGTCTGAGTCTATATAAGTGAGATTTTTTTTTTGCTAAATGTGGAGAACGTACCTTCATATTAATAATTATTCCTTCGAAGGACGAGCCCGGACGTTGCATCGATAAGCTTAGCAGACACATCATTAATCAGTAATTTATAGAAATAATAACAGATAAGAGCATGACGATAGCCTCATTCCAACTCTTATGTTAGACACAAAAATGAAATGCAAAAACAAAATATTTGTAAAATTGGAACGAGGGTATTATAATGCTATGTTCTCTCGGAGGGTGGCGCGGTAGCTTGATCCCTGGAGGCACGACCACGCACGCTCGGTATCAGAAACCCGTTTGATTTTCGGGAGTGCACACACAAATCAGAAGCGATGCGAATTGTAATCACCAGATCGCCTTTCCTTCATTTTTTTACCTCTTCATGTGACTCTCTTAGTATTTTCGCTAACATAGCAATACATTTCAAAACTGAAGAATCAAAAGTTCCTCCATGGTCGGTTTCAAGGACTAAGCTCAGTAGTGATCGTGTGAACAGTTCGCGAATCATAACCCTCGATGGTCTAATTTTCACACGCCGCTCCAGCGAAGAGCCACGAAAGCAATCGTGCCACGCTGTCGTCTTCTTGCGCCGTGAGAAGGTAGCTTGATTGTGCTATTCCGTAAATAAATAGATATATTATTTATGAACTATAGAGGTACGAAACAATCTAAATGTAATCCAATATACGTATATACAGTGTGTCCAGTGGTAAAGTTCACATTTCAAATTTGAATTACACGGCAACCGTATACGCGAGGAAGCGGGGAGATTTTTTGATCGTCACGTTCGGCGTGCGGGTTACATACTCGTAGTCACAATGGCACGTTGGACCGGAGCGCAACGTGCTCTTGCTATCGAGTCTTACTTTAAGAGTGGTGATTCATATACAGCTGCCCTTCGGAAATTTTGTACACGATACAACATTCGCGAACCAAGAGATGCCCCAAGTAAGAACCTATTGAAAAAGTGGATTAAGAGGTTCCGTTAAACAGGCTTTTCTCTTAGTCAACCCATTCCTGGCCCCACACCTTCTGTATCAACCGAAGAAAATGTACGTCGAGTAAGTGATTAGGCCATTGCAAATCCTCGGAGTTCTGTACAGAAGCATTCCGCTGCTTTGGGACTCCCAAGGTCAACACTGCATGGGATAATGAAGAACAAATGGGTTTTCATCCTTATAAAATCCAACCAGCCCATGGTTTGAAGGAAAGTGATCACGTGTTACGCTAATCTTGTGCTGAACGGATGTTGAATCTTTTTCCTACACAGCGCAGACTCGAGAACGTTGTTTTCAGTGACGAGGCCCATTTTCACTTAGACGGCTATGTGAACAAGCAAAATTGCAGATACTGGGCACCAACGCTCATTTCGTGCGCAGTCCGTTTATATATTTTCTGCGCTGCTGTACGGATCGATTAGTCAGCCAGGCGGTGAGCTTAGATAGCAGAAGTACGCGGATTGAAGACATCTCTCTAGCATTCTGGGTTAAAGGCAAATGTACGGGGAAATGCGTGAAATATGACTAATAGACGCATAGGCTTACCGAGACTGTATTCATATAAAATGTCCATTTACCTTCCCCACCCCCTCCAACTCCCGAATTCAACCAATACAAAAATGTTTCTGAAAATGATCAAGACTCACTGGAACGACAAAGTATGAGCAATTTTAATTTTTTTCGTTTTTGACTTTTTTCTCTGCTGCCACTGGACTGATTATCAAAAACTACAAACCTTTTCATTCTTGGCATACTAGTAACCTTATGTTCATTTCATCAAAACCAGAGCGGTACTTCTCAAGTTAGACGGGCTAAAGATTATCAGACAGACAGACCGACGGAAATGAATTACATGATTTTTCGTGGTGTACTTCAAAAAAGCATAGTAATTCATTTTTGCGATTACAATACATACTCGCCCAGTACCGTAGGAAAAAAATACTCTCTAGATCATCCGTTTTCTCTAGGAGCTAGCTGCTTTTTGGCTCATTGCTGTATTTTTAACTGTATCTTAAAACGAAGCATTTTATGCCCTCTCCTAACGAAGCGCTTCAGTTGATGACGGCCATCTAGCGCATTACCCCTGCACCCTGAACCTGCGTTAAAAAATCAGGCAGCCTTTCTCAAGTCTGTCACCAGTGATGTCAGATCTAGTGACATGTCCCTAGTGCTAGAGACAATTGGCGGAAATAATTTATCTAAGGACCTGGGGACGTTCAGGAGACATTTTAACATTGTCTCTATTTGTTTCTGTTCTATTGGAGATAACCTATATATTTCGAAGAGTAATAGGATTTGTTTTCATGCCTGTCCAAAAAACCATATACAGGTGATATATTCCACCGGAAGGTACCCATTCCAAGTTAAAGGTGTGCCTTTCCTGAAAATAAGCATATGTGAGGTAAAGGCGTAAACCACTCACAACTATTAATATATACCTAATGACCACCACATTTGGGTGTCATTGTTGCTATACGAGTATCTCGGGCAGTTCCCGCAGATTTTGATATTTTCTCTGCGTTGTTAATAAATTGTGAGAATGCGAAATCTTAGGAATAATTATGAGAGGGGTTGAGGCATGATCTTTCCATGAAAGGTTGCTGTCATGTTCAAAAACAATTCTGCCTGGCGTGGCGGAAACTGAAGAGACGCCCCTTGACTAGCTCGGAGATGCACATCTCGCTACAATTCTAGAGGTCACGTTCGGTACTGGGGAGTAAGTTTATGGTTTTTGAGATTGAAAAACTAAAAAGTAATATACTTAATATGAGTCGACGAAATATCTTGGATGAGAGCTTAATGAAACCCAGATACGATAAGAGAGAGAGACAGAGAGAGAAACGGAGAAAGAGGGAGATATATAGTTTTTTGCAGGAGTGAAACTCAGAGCTGTGTCGTCATATTATTAATCTAAAATCAATCTACTTAAAAACACCTAATGTAACAAGCGCGTTGAGGTTTTTTTAGTTAAGTTGATAGTTATGTTCAATTTTTCTTCTTCGAATACTTCTTCAAGTCTGGAGGATTTGGGTTCGGAGTAGTAACTCTCGTCAACTGCTGAAAACTTCCTACGAGGGTGTCCCACTGCGAAACCATCCGTAAATCGACATCAAACTGTTCCAATACTTTTGAAGTGTAGGGTAGAGATGTTCCAAAATTCCATGATCCAACGTTGGGAAGAAATGATGCAGACAATGATCACCAAAATTGGTCAACACGAGGAAATGTGATCCTGTTATTTCCTTACGATCCATTATGGCATCAAGTTGGCTCAGGCCCCAATCGTAACTTTGGTCTGACCTAGAAACAACAAGTCTGCTTATTCAATGGATTGCTGCGTAAGTCAAAAGTATGGTTTCTGCCCCGAGGTTTTACCCGCGGAACGTGTATGTGGCGCCACTAGTAGAGTTAACAAATTTCCCAAGCATGCAAGTTGGTTGGGGAAGTCGGATGTAACTGGTGGATTCAACTAGTTATTTCCTATTAGAATCACCTTAATGTTGCACAAAGTAAATTTGTGCTTTCTTTATATAGTTTGGTTTTGCTTAGATGTTACAAGCTTGATTTACAATGATTTTCAAGATTTTGCCCCTCTAGTGGAAAATTTGCTCCCACATTTTACTCTTCGGCACTTTTCCAAGCTAAATTTATTTGCCCTCCGGAAAATGTTTTCTGCGGGAGCCTATCGTGTGTAGTTGGCGACATGATATGACGTTACCGACCTTACTTCGTAATATGGTGAATGTGGTAGAACAACGTGAACGTGACACTACTTTAAGTGATGTAACGAATGTCAATTTTTAGGCGTTCGCGAATGTGAATGGATATGTAAATATTGTAAATGTGATTATTCGATTTTTCACTGTTAATACATATCGAAACATACTTGAAGGAGCAAATACGGCCAAGCTTCTATTTAAAAGTTTATTATTTATCTAGCTCAATGTGGTTATATTATCAATATGTTTTTTAAAAAAACAGTTTGTTTAAAAACATTTGTTTTCTAAATGTAGTTCAAGAATATAACTGTGTTTTCTTGTATTTTTATTTTTAAAAGATTTGTTATCAAATACCGATAAAAATAAAAAATAACTTTAGATTTGTTATTTCATAATTATGTTTTCTAATGACAAACATCTGATTATTTAAGGTCTGATTTTACTAAGCCGGGGCGCAGAAAAGCACGAGGGTCAATAATTCAACCAACGAGAAGGTGTCTTTGATTTGTTGTAACTAATGAGTATGGTCGATTTCTTGGCAAATGTCTCTTAAATTAGAGAAAAATTATGCGAATTGTATAAGATGGGCCCCTAATTCCAACATTAAATCAAGAAATATGCCATAAATCACTTGGTTCAGCTACAAAAACTTATTTTTCCATTTGGGTCTGGACAGTAAATGGGCGGTCGTGATCATATGGATGGACCAAAATCTGATACAATATCTTTATCGATTTGACAGCAATTAAAATTACATTTTATTGAAAGTAATAGTGTCTCACTGTACAAAATTTTGCTTAATAAATTCTCTGGGGTCTTAAATAAAATTACAAAATGCTCATTCATCAACAAACATCTTTTTTTATACCGAAGCAACCGCGCAGGCAGAAGCCTAAATGCCAGGACACCGCGGATCCCAAAGAAATTTGTTAATCCAATTTTTTAACTGCCCAGGGTTAGTAGAACTGGGAAAAGCGGCTTGTTGTAGGTTGTTCCACAATATCGACACCCTCGGGACAAAAGAGCGGCCGTATCGTCCAGTCTAGATGTACTGAGTTCGAGACGGTTAGGAGGTCGAAGTCAGGCGGGTCTGTCTGGCAGGCACATCGTGCGGCGGCATCATGGAGGAGAGCTCTGAGGAGCAGAGTCCGTTGGTTGTAGCGGTGGAAGACAGCTAGATTGCCAAGGCTCCGCTCTGAGGTTTTTGTCTCCGCGAAAAAAAGCATGACGGGATGATTGGATTGCAGGTAGTGATGAACATCATCAATGTTGCTGCTAATCCCGCAGATGTTTGTGAAACAAATTTTATCATAGATGTTCCTCCCTCGAATCCACTCTAAACCTGGACATTCCGATTGTGAAGTGAGTTTACGTCCGGAATTCTTAGTACTCGAGACCGTGGAGAAAGCTAGCGGGTGCTACCGCCTCGGTCGAGTAGTACTTATCTAACACCTTCTTTTTGCGTGTTATTGATGTTGAATAAACCTAAAGTGACCCGTTGGCGGACTTGTATCGCCACCCGGCAATCAGTACTGAGCTATTCTTTAACGCGTGTACAATCACTTGGACGGGAAAAAGTTGTATACTGAATACACCAAGTTCCGGAACGAGCATTTGCCATGGCCCCACCCAGTAGAGGACGCAGTACATCAAGTATATATTCAATTTACTTGACTACTGTCCGAAGAACCATAGCTCTCACACCCTCTACTGGGCAGTAGGACAACTGGTTCTCGGCTTGCCACCGTCACCGCGGCGCAGGGTGGTCGTGTAGTCGTCCTACCGGCCAGTAGAGTGCGCGACATCTTCCTGTTAACTCGATGTTTTTTATAAAATAAGCAATTTTTAATTTTATTTATGTCTTCAAAAAAGGTATTAAGCAGATTTTGTACAGCAACAGTGAAACACTGTTATTGTCAATAAAATGTTCAGTAATGGTATCATGTCAATATATTGTATCAGGTTTAGTCCATGTTTCGGGTAGACCATGGATCCTTTTTGATTGATTAACTTCTGTGTCTGGACAAAATGGAAAATAGATTTTTTTAGCTGAACGATGTGATATACATATATAAAGTATTTCTTGATTTATTATGAGAATTTGGGGCCCATCTTACACAAATCGTACAATTTTTTCTAGTTGCAGAGACAAGAGAAACGACCAAATTCATTACTTCAGAGACGTCTTCTTATTGGTCCAATTTGTGCCAAAGGCAAAAATTTTGATTCCCGCCGGTCAATAGTAAAATCGAACCTAAGTGAGCAGATTATGTGTAAAATAAAGTTTTTGTTAGTAGTTTAAAAAAAGAATTGTTGTTTTTTGTGTGTTAGACGTTGTTATTTCATAATTTATGTTTTCCAATGACAAATGACGGTCTATGTCAAAATAAAGTTCGCGTTTGTTACAGCATGTAAAAAGATAATAAACTGTTATTTCTTATTTTATATACGTACCTAATATTATTTTCATATTCTCTTTTTCTGATATTCATAATCGTAAAACATGGGAATATTTGTGAATGCGAATGCTAACACTCATTACATTACTACTACCTATCTTATAGAAGTAGTAGTATACCCGTAGTAATTAAAATTAGCTTTGAATCCATACCTGGGTGTATCACCATCGTGGAAGATGTCAGGATGATGATGGGCAGCATTAAGCCCAACAAGGCCAAAGTAGAAAGCTCCTACGTGCAAAATGAAATTCCACATCCACAAAGTTGCTATGAAAGACTGTCCTCCAAATACGTACATCGATAAGGGCAAAATGATAGTGGTTATATCTGTCATTTTTAGGTTATTTCCATTTTCCTTATAAGCCTCCACCATTCTGAAACGGCAAAGTTCATGATTGATCTTTGGTCGCTGACTTGATCATCTGTAATCGTATTTAAACAAGACATCAAATAGTAATGCACTGGCAGTTCCTTTCCGATTCCAAGAGTCGATGGGTAGTCCACTTGGCGGAACTTTTAGGAAACGGTAGTTCAATAAGTAAACATTATGGATCACGGCTAAAAGAATTATCCAACTGAGAACCTGCAAATTGCTATCGTTAAGATCTTTAAAAGCCACCTCGTTATTTTACTACCAAAATTTCATACAAACAATAGCAACCCTGAGTGACCTGTAACTGATATTTAACATTTATATTCCACAGTATGCTGCACCTGATTTTCAAAATTTCATGAAGTAGTAATACCTGTATTGCATAAAAAATTCTTTAAACAATTTTTGACGCAATTTTTGGCCTGGCAACAGACGGTTTCATTAAAAGGGGTTCTTTTGATTAAGACTATGCAATAAATCTGAATCAGAATATTTTCCCAGCAGACACTACTTTTAAAGATTGTGAAACGTTTTTTAATACTACAATTTTAGAGATTTTGAAAACCTGTAATGGAAACTTCTACAGCCTATAGTGAAATGAAAACGGTTAAATGCGTTAACGTTCGTTTAAAATTAAAAGGTTTACAATTTTGAACAGGCACACAGTCAAGGGTCAATTATTAATGTAGGCCTTAGTCAACAGACAAATTGAATGGCTTGGAGTAGCAAGGGACCTAAGCCACAATTAACTTTAAAATACTAATTGTATGTCTCAGAACCGTATATAATTTATTTTTTAAAAGTTAATATAGTCAATCTTTCTATAAATGTGTTGAAGACTAATAATGAAAAAAATAATAATTTCAGGAAGTATATGGCATAGAATAAAGTGATAATTTCGTAATTGTAAGTATTTTTAATGATATAAACGTAAAGGAGACGTATAATTAGTATCGAGTATTTTATATTTTAGGTAGTATTTGAATGTATATCCCTGGTGTAGGATTCCATGTCCAAAGTTGATTTCTTTGTTGATTTGCAGATAGATAACGCTATAATTTATAGGAGGCGTTGTCGAAGAAAACACTATATTCTTTATTTTTACACCAAAAAATCTATAAGTCACTCTCGTTCCAAGATGGACGTCAAATGGAAGCTGTTTGCTGATGAAAACAATGGAATGCCTTACAGGTAGTGATACATAAAACGAAGATAGTTCTGGATTTAGTTCAGATGATACTATCAAGGGCAGAGAGTACCATCCAACTGACAGCAGCTCTGATAAAGACTGAACGAGTAACTCAGGGGAAAAAATAAATTGTTGGCTAGACCATTGACCTTATTGTCGATATAGATGCGGGTTATGAAATTTTTTGTAGGAAAACTATTTTTGTATTACTCTCACAATACCACTAAATAATGATTTGTATCTATCCATCAGAATATATCCTTGTCTTTATTCAGAGCGGCTACCGTAGATCACAAATAACAACAATACCAGTCTAAAAAAGATTGTAATGAGTGTCTTATGCCCTTTTTTACCAAATAAATTGATCTCTGTGGTACGTGATCTTTCTCGGTCTTCAGACATATTGATACACTTTACGCATATACGCATTTGGCTCCATATATGCCACAAAAAAACTTCACCATAGGTAAGGAGTCCGTCAAATTCCATTAAGTGTTCTGTTTCTACGAACAATCCCAATTTATATATTTGTAATACATGCCTTCTCTCAAATTACCCTTAGACTGCATTTTGTTTTGACAATAAGACACCAAGCCACAGTATTTTCAAAAATAAATATATTTTACGGAAATGGGTCATATTATTCCAAATCTTATTTCCCCAAATATAGACCTATCGTAATCGAAATTTTTATAAATGTCATAAATTCGAAAAGTTTTTCCACAAAAATCGGTCTAACCATTTTATGCGTCCATATTTAAAATGCGGCCTTGAACAACTTGCACCAATAAAACCGGACTTTGCAATCATTTCGGGGAAATTTGCTAATATGATTAGACTATATGTTAGATGAACGCCTACATTGGAAATATACATTTATGAGATTTGCTTCGCGGTGCGCCTGTAGCCTGTCCAGAAAATGCGTCGATCGATGCTCAAAGTCAATACCACACGTCCCGCATTTCTTCCCGCGTATATTTCTATTTATGTTGCTATATTGGGATTCATTTAAGTCACAGAGCTTCTGCAATGCACCTGAATAGTACAGCCCTGTATTCCTGTTCTTGTTTTGTGCAAACATACATTATCAAAATAATTACGATCTAACATATATAGTTTTTCCAAAGATTTCCAACATTTTTACATGTGATCAACATGGATTCGAAAACTGAGAAAGCCACAACTATGCCGTAAACCTAAGTTCGACACCAAAAGTCTGAAGAATAACTGTAACATCCATATTGAATTTCAAAAAATAATTGACTGTACCTATTGATATTTTTATCACCTGCTGATATAATAGAAGTGCTTGAATGTGTCAGTGTTTACACCAATTACTTGATTTGTTTAACGGGTAGTTCAGAGTATTAATCCTTAAGCCTAGTACTCACTAGTAGACATGTCTCGCGATTTTGGTCTCAGAGACACGTCTAAAGTTGTCTCAGTATGTCTCGGTAGACATGTCTATAGACCAAATCCGGTCTACGGGGCGGTTGCGAAACTAAAAAAAGCAGGTCTCAAGTCTCCCGATTGAAATGGGAGACTTGATGCAACGTTGGGATACGTTGCGCAACAAGGTGATAGTGAGTACCTCGCGTCCATAGACGATACATTTCCCAGTACCTCTCTTGCTTTGTAAACAAGTGCATGCGGTCTCTGCTGTTTTTGTTTACCATGTGGTCAAACGACAAATGTTGTCCCCCAATCTTAATTTATTTACTAGTTCGGTACCGAACCTAGGTCCTTCTGCGAACACTTCGCGCGTCCACCAACGTTTACGTTTTTGCGCTTTTTTACTAAACAGGTACTCATTGCGCACAAAGCAAGGTCCGCCATGGTGGTTGGCGAAGATGAGACTAGAAAAATTCCCATCACAGTGTGGACGCTAGACGAGGCAAAGATCGGTGTTTCTACACCATGTCTATGTCTCAAGTCTAGACGGTCTCTAGACCACCTAAAGAAAATCGCGCAACGTGGTCTCCAAGTGAGTACTTACCTTTAAGCTTAGTACACACTAGTAGACCCTATTGCGCAATTTGTCTATAGGCAGTCTGGAGACGGTCTCAACACACGATCTACAGATGATGGTATATAGACATCCTTCTTTGTCTCGTCTAGCGTCCATACGATAATGTGAATTTTTCGGTCTCATGTTCGTTTTCGTCATCAAAGACATTGTTTTGTGTGCAATGGCTGGGATATGTCTCGGGGTCCCTCAAAATGTCTTTTTTTGTTAACTGAGCAATTGAGTTTTTTGTTTTAATCTTTAATATTATTACACTAGTTCATTATAAATGTCACGTAATTCTTTTGTTCTTATACGAGTATAATAAAATATTGCCTTTCTGAGGATTTCTGAGCACTTTCCATATTTTTTTTCGATTGGCATTGAACAGATAGAACACAATGGATTTAAGGAGCAATAATAGGATAAATTCTAGAAGTTCCACTGAGGTAGAAAAATTACCAGCCCCAAAGATCGTTTGCGCCCCCTCCCCTAGACGAAATCCTGGATCCGGCCCTTGTATGCGGCGGAAGCTTCCTTACCTTCTAACAAACTGTATATGGAAGAAAAGTGTCCATAAGAATGGAGCAATAAACAGCGATCCAAATCTCTGTAGAGGTTCTTTATCGGTTGGTAAATATTGCAGGAGTGGTTCTAACAATGATATTTCCAAATCATCGATAGTATTGGTATGAAGATGGTGACTCAAAACGTGGCTTATCCTCCATTCTCTAAAATTATAAATCGACCATTAATAACGTCCTTATATTTATTTGATTTTGATAATTTTTTGTACTTTTGATCTGCAATGAAGCAATTCAGAAAAGTAGTAGTATTTATAGTTGCTTACCTTACTTGCATGAATGAAAATTGAAAGTAATACATCCTGAAGTTATCCCGACGATGGAAATAATTATGGGCTGCCGCAGTTAACATCCCTAGAAATGTTCCCGCCAATATACCAATAAAATAACTCCAATGTCTAACAGCCAATGATGAGAACAAAAATACAAAGAAAGCCAATGCATCTATCAAAAGTTTGAGGTGTGTTTTGGTTGTTTTGGTATCGTCTTCAGAACTTCTCGGACTTCCTTTTTGAGTGTTCTATAGAAGCCATCCTCTTCGAAAGTGAACGGACTGTTTCTTTTTGTCTTGGCTTCTCGAATATAGTATTTCTGAAGCAGTTGCTCTGGATATTGGGTGACATGATGAGCTTCAAATGCCTCGGTAATGTCAATACCCTGTAATTAAAGTCGTACTTAATATGTATAAAACATAACAAGGGATGATCATCGCCGATCGAACAAGATAAAGGAATCAGCCTATATCGGATGTTTCACATTCGGCTCTTACACTGATGAAGTTTCGGAGTTCGGAGTATTACAGTAGACAGACGAAGAAGAAAACGATATCCTCAGAACAGTTCTACTTTTTCCTGTTTTTATTTGGAGTTCATGGGATTTCAAAATAAGTTGCGTATTAATATTGCCACTTTCTCATCTCTGCAAGGTCCCATAATTAAAGTACCAATGTGACGTTTTATCTCCAGCCCGAACTGTATTTTCTGTTATGGGCGCTATATTTTTATTCAGGTGAATAAGTGCCTCTCCGCCTTAAGGCCAAATTTTTGTGTCATATTATTTTCCCATAAGAGTGCTTTTACCCCATCCTGCACGGTTAATATTAAGTTACCAACTATATTCACAGGAATTATTACTTTGATACCATGGAAAAAATCTTATAAAACTTTTTTTAATATCCTTGAGTCTCTTTTCCGAACTCAATGGACTTTCAACGATAACCGCCACTTTGGACTGTCGAAATGTATTGATGAGATTTGAACTAGTTATTCACGGTACCTTTGTTTAAGCAAAGTGGACATTATTTGGAGTACGAGCCCGCTGTGAGGATCACAATGCAGACACAGAACTTTAATCTCGTATCGTATTCAGCTACTAAAACGATCTAACCCACTAATTACTCTTTTTCTGTATGTACATGATAAGCGATAAGGGATCCCGCCATAAATTGGCTTCCTTTTTATCTTTTCTGTACGACCGTTTAAAAAAGAGTTCCATAAAAAAGTTGGTGGGTCTGAATGTTGTTTTTATGCAATCTCTTTTATATACAGGATCTTAGCTTTCTGTATCGACTAATGTTGTGTTTTTTAAACAAAACATCTTGTATATTTTTAGTGAAATCCTAACTGCTTTTCTCTGATCCCAAATATACAGTATGTTTCAGAATAAAAAAAATGCCATACGCGGATCTAACACGAAGGGACGCTACTGGAAATAGATTTTTCTTTTGAACGACTCAAAGAAAATTTGACAGCTTGATAACTTGTTGGGAGCTCATTTGGTGGTATCAATAAAACGGACCTCCCTCAACGTAATATTACTAATCTTTTAACATCCTGTGTAATAATGACCCTACGGTAGTATCTTTGAAAATTTTGATCTGTAAGCTGAAAAACCATACTCTCGCTTGACATTGATAAATTGGACCGTTTTTGAGAAGAACTCTTTTATTTTCGTACAATTCTATTAATTTTGGCTCTGGATCTATTATACCGGTTCAGATATTTTGAAAAAAGTAATACTGTTATTTTATTTGTATTTAGCCACCGGAAAAGGTTTTTTGCACATAACTCAATAAAGTTTTAGATTTTTGACTTTCTTTTTTGGGGAATGGTTGGAGTGTAAATCGATAGGAATGGTATTGACTGTTTTCTGAAGAACTGCTCATTTTATAGAAATCCAACAAGAGTTCCTTTTTTTAGCTAGTGTGTTAATGTATTTACAAGAATATTATTTTGAAGCATTATTATACAGTGTAAAAAATACCAGCAGTATTGCGTTAGTGCTAGTCCGTCCCTGATTACCTAATTCGCTCAATTGTTTTACCATCAAATTAGACCAAAACTGGTCACAATGATTTCAAAATTTCGTTGAATTACCGTGCTGTTCAATAGTACATTACATACTCGTTTTGACAAAATGTGTGACACCAACGAGGTATCTATACATTTTTTTCTACTAATTCTATATATTTCAAAACCACTATCATGACGCTTCCAACTCATTTTACAAATACTTTAAAATATCTAGTTACCTGGTTTCAAAATGACAAACTGAAATTAACAGGTTATTTTACAATATGAGAATAACAATCATAATAAGAAGGTAAGGAAAGCCTATATAAAATTGAACCAAAATTTTCTTTCTATACCCTATTCGTAGTCCATTTACGCCCTGGCATTACAAAGATGCAGCGCGGCAAAGCGTGTGTTTATACGTTAGCATGTCGTCTACAGATTCAGCAGATGAAACTGAGAATATTTCTCCCAATGCTCCCTTCAGCCATGCTTCCTCTTCAGTGATGTGTCCTCTCCGAAAACGTGACAAGAAGGGACATTTAAATATTCAAACAAAAGAAATTCTCCTTAACGTTTATAAGACGAAGTTTTAGTGCAGCCTGAAATGAAAATTCATGATATTGAAAGACGTGTGACGAACAAAACAGGCTTATGCCCTAAGACAATTTTCAACATTGTTAAAGAATATAAAAACACGAAGCTGTTGGATATAGTTGAAAACTGATCGGCCAAGAGATTATTTTATGGAGAAGAAATTATTTTGAATCAATAAAGAAATACTGCGACTAGCGCAGGAACATTTTTTACTTGGATGAAACCTGGATAAATGCAGGGCATACAAAACCTAAAGTATAACCTGACTCTACAATTAAATCAGCAAGACAAGCCTTCTTAAATGGACTAAGCACTGGCCTAAAGAATCCGTCAGGTACGTGTATCTAACCAATTCGTCATTTGTGTTGTGAACATGGTGTCAAGTAGACTGAATTTCAACCAACACCTGTTAGATTCTCTGCTTGTATTATTATTAGTGTTCTTGAATATCATATGAAATAATTATTTCCAGGAAAAGGAAAACGATTTGTTATCTGTATGAAGAAATGGACGGGAGGCTCTTTTGAACGACGGTTTGAAGAAACGCTCCCAAAGCTTGACGACAATGCCATCATTATACTTGATAATGCTGCATACTACACTAGAAAACTAGAAAAAATTCCCACAATGTCCACAAAAAAGGCAGAAATTCAACAATGGCTCCTATCAAAAGACATTAGTTTCAATGAAAATATGGTGAAAGCAGAACTTCTCCATCTAGTCAGGCAGCTCAAATATAAATATAATCTTAATGTTATTGACGAAATGACTAAAAACCAACATAAGACCGTTTTTAGGCTACCCCCTTATCACTGCGAATTAAATCCCATTGAAATGATAAAAAACTATGTGGCTTCAAACAACAGAACATTCAATTTGTTTTATGAAGATGAAGATTGCATCCGTCACGTTCAAGAGACAATCGAAACAAAGATCTGGGATCTGGACAATATGATATTCAAATTGTACCTTTAATGATTGATATTAACCATTCGGATGATTCAAGTACTTCCAGCGAATAAAGAAAAGTGTGAGCACCTCTTTCTTTAAATTCATTCATTTTGTTAGATTATTCCAAGACCATTGAGGAAAATACGGACCTGTACAATCTTGCTTTTGGGCATGTTGTGTTTTGTCTGGGCGTAAATGGATTGCGAATGGGTATATAGTACTTTCTGTGGACCATGAGTTTTTCACATCCAAGTTTTTTCTAATCGTTTTTTATTGGATCTCAAATGCGCATATATTTTATTTCACCATCTCAAGGTCAAACTGTTATGCCTCCATTATTTCCTCATCTTTCTATTTAGGTGTCGAAGCATAATAATTAACCTGTGTGTTACGACAATGGTTTTGGGTGGGTTTTCGCGTTTTCGCAGGATTTTTGGCGTTTTAGAGACGATGAACGAGGGTGGCGCGTCTGGTACAATAAAGAAACCGACAAATTACCTCATGCTCGCTTGTCGCTTTGGAGGGCTGGACGTACTTTAGGGCACAGGAATTCTTACCCCAGGCGGCGCTGGGTTTTGCTGGTTTTGATCAATGACATCTAAAAATTGCAATTGTGGCTTCGCAGAATCTCAGCATGTTGAAGGACAATTCAGAGTATTGAAGTAACATATTGTATACTAATATGTAAATGAAAGGGAAAAAACAAATACAGTATCACCTGGAGAACAGATAAACAAAATATACTGTCAAAAGTGTCAGTTGTACTTAAAAAGGTCATCCTTGGGTCCTAAACGTAGAAAAAAGAGGAATTATAAACATATAGGTATGTGGTTTGATGTGGCCAGACGAACATGGGGGATTATATTAACAGCATGAAAACCACAGGATAAGTTTCAGATGTTACACTGCATGGTTTGTTATACTTATTTCCATTTCTTTAGATTGCTTAGGCGGTAAGATGCAAACTAGTTAAACTCGGATGCACTTGAATAAATGACACACAAGAAAAAGTTATTGACTAAAGTAATAAAAATGAGTATAACAAACCGCAGGCATTTTTTTCTAAGCATTTATACTGAAGATGTAGAGGAGGGTCACTTTATAGCACGCTGTACATACCTTAGTAAGTGTAAGCCACTCGGAACCCCCTGGATGTTTGTTAACGAAGTCAGTCAAATCGTAGAGACCATTATGCACCCTCCATAGGCCTTCAGCTCCATCAGTGTCTTGTTTCTCTTTCAACCAAACTTCTGCAGTCAACTCCAAACTTTTTACTCTTGACGCAGGTGGTTTTATGCCTAAAGTCGACAAGGGTTCTGATTTCCGCACCATTTTTTCACCAAAAACTATACAGAAGCTGCAGGAATCTTACTATGATGTATACCAAATGACCTTTGGGGTATGTATTGCGTTGTTTTATTTTATTTTTGTTAATGATAATGTTTACTGACAGCTTATCTGAATTATATCGTATAAGCTGCATATTCATATAACGTGGCTATTTTATATAAATGTTCTGTAATATTTATCATATTTGCACATATAAGTCGACAGCCAAAACTTTTTAAATGATCATTGCTGATGTCCAGTAGTTTAAATTCCTTATAGTTGTGGTGTCCTTCCGGCGAACTAATGAAGTATCATGATGATGATCAACATACTACCCAGCAGGGACATAGTCTAAGGGAATTGAAGGTTCATGGCTGATAGATTATTTTATTTCTAAGTACACCTTAGCACATGTTTAGTGATGGTTGGCAGCATTTAATGAATACTTAAAGCTAATGAAATTAGAAGCAGCAGAACAGTTATAAATTCGCTTAATACGGGTATGCAGTATCACTAACTCTAGTTCGATTACGGTAATATTAATATTAGTAGAGACTTTTGTCAATCACAAATACGCATACGTAATCGTTAGCTTAAATGTCAAAATAACAATGAAAGGTGAAATTAGCGTTTACGTATGTGACATTTGTGGGTGCGAAACTCTCTAATAATAAATAAAATAACAATTAGAAATGAAGACAATATTACGTATATCCATCCATCATTCGACGTAAATCAGTTAGTAGCCCTAACGTATTAGTTTTTCTTTGAGTACTTCTTCAGGTCTGGAGGATTTGGGTTAGGAGTAACTCTCATCAGCTGCTGAAAACTCCCCAAGAATGTGTCCCATTGTGAGACTACACGTAAATCGACATCAAACTTTTCCAAGTTCTTCTGAAGGACTGGATAGAGAAATTCTAGGGCTCCATGGTCCAGCGTCGGGAAAAGGTGGTGTAAGCAATGATCTCCAAAATTGGTCAATACCAGGAAATGTGATCCAATTATTTCCTTGCGTTCCATTAGGGCATCTAGTTGACTTAGACCCCAATCGTAATTTTCATCCGACCTATAACAAGACATTCTTTTTAACATACTGAAGTTAGATTGTTTTCAACATCCACTTTTACTTCGTCTACTAACGAGGAAGTATTATAATCGCGAAAAATTACGAAAATGATATATTACGTTTTTTGGATGTTATATGACATGTGCATCACGAAAAACCATGTCACTCATATCCGTCGTTATGTCCGCAAGTCCTTGGCTCGTCTATAACTTGGAAAGTACTAATGAGATTTGCAGAAATTCTTACACAAGGTAACTACTATGCCAAGGACGAAACAAATTTGTAGTTTTTGAGAATCGGTCCAGTGGCGGCACGGAAAATGCAAAAAAACGAGAAAAACAAAACTCGCTCAAACCTGGCTTTTTGATGTTTTAGACGATCCTGATCATTTTAAAAAACACTTTTAAGGTTAAAAAATTGGATGTATCGCAATTTTTTGATGTTAGTAGATTGATACACTTCCTACCCCACAAAAACAAAGCACCTAATAGACATCTTTCACACACCGTAGATTTCCCCGCACATTTGCCCTTGAAACAGCCGACATCTCGCGTACCTATCGGTCGCACTTGCCATGCGCCAGACAATGTAAAAGTTGCATATTTGGTACTCTACCCCAGGAACATAAAAGAAGGTAACGGATTGCCCGGTGACGCGACATGCACATACGAGGTGAGCGCGTTGTTATCTATATTATATATACGAGCATTATTATATAGGACACTAGTATATTCGTAAGAAGAGCTATTATAATCATGTTATCATACATTGTTGACAAGCAGTTTTACACCAGAGCTCCAAAGACGTGAGGCTACCGTGTACAGACATTTTTTGATGATGTCGCACTACATGGAAAATTGTACTAGAAGTTGTTTTAGAGGCCAGGGAACTATAGAGTCAATCTACTTGACGCCATTTTTTGACCCCAAGCACGAGGGAAAAAGGTGCATGGTTATGAATGTTTTCGGATTCGAGATAATACGTATTTTGTTTATTTTATGACGTCTACACTGCCGTTAAAAAGTTCTCGAATACGCGATAGTTGTTTACTTAAAATTGAAGATAGCGATATAAACTTGGTTATATAGCACGTTGATGTACAGGGTCATTCATTTCTCAGGCATGCAGTAGATAAAAAAATATCACGAAAAAATGTTATAAACATGGGTCCTACATAGCCAAACAAAAATTAACGTCTCTGACCCCTACAGGAAAAAAGGAAATTACATACTACGACACTGACTTTTTGAAAACTATAGCGTTTTTGATTACTCCCTTTGGAGAAAAATTGGTATGAATGTTGGAGGTATAATCCCTTTATAGGAACTCGAACCCGTTCTACTACCACTAAGTTTGACCTTGAACATTGTATGTGATGTATTAAGAGTAATCTTGTTTCACCTTAGCGTTATTTGAACAATATTCGTGTTTGCTCTCACCCATCTGAAGCGTAGACATTTAGAATACCGTGTACCTTGGTAATAGAATATTGTAGGTCATACGTTTACAATAACTTTTTTTTAATTAATTATTTCTGATTCGTCTGTCAGGTTCGCTCCTAGGAAATTCGATCAGATTGAAATCGGGGAACTATCCTGGACATTCCATTGTTTGTAATGTACTTGCTGGTGTTTTTTCAGCAAATGCTTTATACTCAGTTATAATCAGAGTTTTCGTACTCATGGTTGCATAACCCATTCTGGTTCAATAAGACTTCTTGCTGGAACCACTTGGTGAACACAAATCTTGTGATAACATTTCCCTTAAGGATTCTATAGATCCTGTGCACTGGAGAAACAGCACTGACTGATGACGCACTCAGGTCCAGGTATTTCGCGGTTGGAACTTTGCAGCTGGACATCTATGTTCCGTGAACCAGTTGCCTCATTTATAATTATCATTTGTTACTGAAAATGTCGAATTTAGATGCCTCTGACATTCTTGTTACTTTTGACTCACCAAAGGCTATCAGATAGTGCTCATGGAAACGTTGATCTGACTGATGAGTTCAAATTCGAGATTTTTCAGAAAGAAGTCATGTGTGGTGTAAATACGAAACAATCTTCATGCGCATAATTCCTACTGTGAAGCATAAAAGCGATTTCGCAATGATCGTCAAAGCGTGCTCCTTCAATATTGTTTCTCGATTGGAAGTGAGAGAATTTTTAATGGCAAACATGACCGGATTCTTGTTCACGAAGAGACTCCTGTGGGAAGAAAGCTTAACGTGCCAGAAAACCCACACAATTAACCGACGGTATAATTCAAACTGTGTTATTTTTATAAACTGCCCAGTAGGCAGAAAACTAAATACCTGGGAGACGCGCCATCACTACCACGAACTTAAAGACGCCCTATTAATTGGATTTTTGAATTGCTTAATGTTATCAGGACTGAGAATAGCCTCCTCAGGCACATTGCTCCTGACTTTCGACACCATAGGAACAAGGGAGAGATCGCTGTACTCGAGGCTAAGTCTTATAAGGGCTTTGTACAGAGTGAAGAGGTTATGTAGAGGAAAGTACTCCTTATCCCTAAATAAACAACCTAGATTCTCCCACTATAGCTGTTGCGACTGATAAGATATGCTTGAGCAAGATCGGGTCGTCGGTGATCTGAACTCTGACCAGCCAAAATAAATGGCTCTTTGGCATGACTCGACCATCCATCGTTAGTGGATGACCGCCAGGGCGCTTCTTGTTAGTCAATTTGTCCAAGCGGTGATAGCTTCCAGCTCTTCGTCAAAGATGAAATGTCTACTAGTTTTCTTCTATCGGCAGAGATTGGCTTGCCACACTGAATGCCCGCCTGTAGAGTGCTGTCACTAGCAAAGCTGTGGATGAGGGGCGAAGTCGAGAAATCGTCGATTACGACGAATACCTTGATGCGGGAGAGAAAGTCAGCCACTCATTTGCAAAGCTTTCCTGGGAGGTCATATGATGGAAGTTCAAATAAGAGGGCAGCATGCCACAGCTGATCGAAAGTTGTGTAGAAACAAAAACAGAAAAAACTTTTGGGACAAATTTGATCAGTGAGCTACAAAACGGGATACATCTTACAAATAAAGACTCTGAAACAACTCTAAAGTAAAGTGAGAGAACCTTAAATCATCTACTTCCAAAGAATTCGACGAACTATCTCAAAAGTTGTGACGGTCAAATGATGATAAAATTTCCCACAAGCTTTCAAATGGCAGTGTACCATATATCACCAAAATCGATATCACATTATTTTTCTGTCGATCGGTTTATTTGATCTGGTTGACATCATGTATTCATATTTTTAAAAATCGATGCACCGGAATCACAACTTCTAAAGCTGCCTTAAATGTAACGAAGCGTATTTCTGAAGGTATAAATTCTATGACCTTACTAGGAGAAGTCATATCTTTATTTTTTGTCTTACCTGGGTGTGTCACCATCGTGAAATATATCTGGATGATGATGAGCCGCATGTAAAGCAACAAGGGCAAAATGGCAAGATCCTACGTGCAAAATGAAGTTCCACATCCACAACGTTGCCAACAAAGATTGTCCTCCCAATATATACATCGATATGGGCAATATAGCAGCAGTCAAATCAGTGATTTTCAGATTATATCCATTTCTTTTATAAGCATCGTACATTCTGCAAAAATATTAAAGGATCATTTGTGCACAAATAAAGCTTCAAGATTTAACCACTATGCTTTGCCCCTAAACTATTTACAGAACAGGATGGAGGATGTGTATTATACGTTCTTATGGTATTGTCAAATGATGGTATCGAGATTTTAAGTGTGGAAAAGCCACTTATGAAAACCAACATGCCGCTGACAGTGGTATGCTTGTAGTAATTACTGACCAAAATAACGTATGTTCTCAAAGTTTGGGCACAAAATTCACTGGCTTTAATTTTAATAAACACAAAATAATATCAAGTTGCCCTTGGAAACAAAAGTTTGTTTACTTACTTTACTGTCAGTTGACATTTATTTATTTTGAAGTTTTCGCTTTTGAGATGTCGTATAAATTAGAAATAAGAAAAAGTATCTACAAGCTGAAATCTGTCGAATATTCCAGAATGAGAACATTTCACGCAGAACCATTTATCGAACAATAGAATGGGCCACTCCACATAATTCGACAGTATGGCTTAGGCCCGTATCGTCAGTCGTCAGTCGTCCCTATAATTGTAGGGCGCCTTTATGGCCTCCTTGATTGTCATAGTTTTCTACTTCTCCGTGTCAGAACTCTATTTTGAGGTTATGTCACAAACATCTATTTGCATCAAATTGTGCTTGCTTTTGAGTTATATCATGTTTTATCAGCCTGAAATTTCCTACAATTTAAAAGGAAAACAAATCTTCACAATAGGAGAGTGCTGACGCTGACACGGGACAAGTGAAATCTAGAAATTTTTGAAGGATAGAAAGGAGTATGACGATACGGGCCTTAGTTAAGTTTGAGTTGCAATATATGATAACTAGTTATTGTTCAAATGAATTTCTTCATTAAAAAAAATCCGATTAATGTTTTGTGCTTAAACTTTTAGGACATACGTTATTAAAAAAGTGCGCGTAATGGTGTTGCAAGACGGGCGTGCAACATTATAGATCTCGAAGTTGAGAAACGCTCTACCTAAACCTAATGCATTGCTATTACTGCCATATATCATGCAGGATTTAAATTGGTAAATTATCCACCGTATTTGCCAGATCTGGTCTAATTAGTCTAAGTATTAGTAACGTTTACGAGGGTAGAGTTTTTAAAGTAATCAACATATGATATCTGGCATAGAAGAGTAGAAATTGAAATGCTGGAGCATCGATGATTATTCTTAGTAGAAAAAATAACAATATATAAAATAAATATAGCGGTATTCCAATAGCTCATGGGCTGAGCACAGGGTTCACATCCCTCGTAGTCTTCGATCATAAGAATTTCAGTAGTGCAAATAAACCATGAAAGTATAACGTCCTACATTGGAACTTAATACCAATACAGTTTATTGTATGAATACAAGATGAAAAATGAATTTCTAAATAATATTCAAGGAAGATAAACAAATATGAATTTTCATTTTTCATGGCTACGTCATTTATATGCAGCCAAGAATCTATTGATAGTAACTTTTGAAAGTGTTTAAAAAAATTGATACCTTACCTTCTAGAGAATTGTATATGGAAATGGAATATACATATGATTGGTACAAGAAACAGTGAGCCATATCTCTGCTTTGGACCTTTAGCAGTTGGAAGGTATTGTAGGAGTGGTTCAAGCAATGATATCTCCAAATCATCAATAGTGTTGGTATGAAGGTGGTGACTCAGTGCATGGAGTATTCTCCATTCTCTGAAATTATAATAGTTTTAGGAGAAATAAAGCATGTAGTTAAAAAAGTCATCTTGTTCAATGAAGTGAAAGCTATAGGACTTTACGTTTTAAGAACATGATATATGTCCGCTATTCTTGGACCTTCTAAAGTTGGAAAGAACCGCTTGGATATTGATGAAATGTTGACACAATGTTACTACTGTACCAAGGACGAAGAAGCTTTGTATTTTTTAATAATCGATTGAGTGAGTGCGGTACCACAGCTAACAAGAAATAAAAATTGCTCAAACTTGACTTTTGGACGTTCCAGAAACACCTGCTTCTTTTCCAAAAATGTTTGAGGGAGGTAGGTAGCAGGAGATGGGAGGCATTTAGATAGATTTCACTGTGCGTTTTCCCTTAAGACTGTTCGGTGCCATGTATCGAATGAAAGGAATGCATAGCTATAATCCTAAGTCTTCAACTGTTAACTAATCTATTTCACTGATTGTGATAAATGTAAGTGATTACTAGTTAACTAACAATGTTCGCTGTGGTGCGGATGGAGGTTTCATGTAACGATGGAAGATGTGTGGCGATATCACAGAAACGCATTTCAGGTTTTCTGTAAGGGGCTAACTTGTGCTAAACATATTTTTTCATGAACTGTTAACTGCGTTGCGTAGAAAGTGCAGAGTCAGTCTACTTTATGCAATTTTTCCAAAGGCTCTCGCAAAGAAAGAAACGTCCTTCGTGATATATATATATATATATATATATATATATATTCCAACAAAATGTTTTCGTGAAGACAAAATAATCGGTTGCTACGTATTTATTTGTATGGCGATGGGGATGGGGTACGTAAAGCACCCATAAGAAAAAAACTGGTACCTACCTGATTTGCATCAATGAAAATTGGAAATAGTACATCCTGAGATTATCCCGTCGGTGAAAGTAATTGTGAGCGGCGACTGACAACAGCCCAAGAAATATTCCAGCCAATATGCCAATAAAATAATTCCAATGTCTCACAGCCAATACTGAGAAAAGAAACAAAAAGAATGCCATCGTGTCAACCATAAAGTTGGAGGTGTTCCACGGTTGTTTTGGCATCGTCTTAAGCGCTTCTCTTACTTCCTTTTTCAGAGTTCTGTAGAAGCCATCTTCTTTGAATGTGAAGGGGCTGTTTCTTTTGGTATTGGCTTCTCGGACGAAGTATTTCTTTAACAGTTGCTCTGGATATTGGCTGATGTGGTGGGCTTCAAATGCTTCGCTAATGTCTGTGCCCTGTAACAACAAACGATATGATGGCCAACTGCGTATATTTAAAAAACACAATCGCAACCTCCTTTCAATAATGAAAAATAAATCTTATTGACAGAGCCATACCTAGGCTTCAAATAGAAAGCTCTGTTTGTGTAACATGGGCCTACATTTTGATTTATACTATCTAAGTCCTGGCAGCTTGTTTTCTAGCGTAGCTATTTCTAAATCTTGGCTGACCGTGGTTGACTGGTTACCTACATTTTTACTTACTTCCTTCTAGGAATTCTGATAAAACTTTTGACTACAGCATTCATTTTTGTTCACAGTACTGAATCAATACCAAATTTGCTTCATGAGGATTTTTATACTTGCAAAAAAGAAACTACAAACCCATAGGTTTCATTTAAATGATGACTTTGGAGAAAGTACATTTTGTGAGGAGTTCCTTATCTCCTTATCAGCTTCTTCCATACGAGTTCAATAATATTTTTAATGGGACCAAGTTCACAAGCGTTTGCTTACCACTAGCCAATGTATAAGCAAAATGAATAAAACATGATAAAACTCATATTTAGGTAACTAACTGTCTTTATCAATACCATATATACCAAAATTCTGTCGTGATCCTTGAGGCCATTCAACGTAAAGCTGTAAAGTATTTTCACCTTAAATGCACAGGTTCTTATCCAGAAAGAGGTTGTGACCATAGTGCCCTATTAGAGTCTTTCAATTTGGATTCACTGTCAACAAGACGAAACATATTTGCTTTGTCGTTTTTGTATGGCCTCATTCACAACAAAATTGACTGTCAAAATTTACTTGAAAAAATATGTTTCCGCGTTCCAAGGCTAGGGAGTCGACAACAAATGGCATTCTATTGTCAAGCTGGCCGTACAAATGTTATGACAAAATCGCCAATTAATTTCATGTGCTGCGTCATGAACAGTGTTACTGAATCGTGTGATATTTACAGTGACAGTTGTGCAACGATTATTAACTGTTATAGATCATCCAATCTTATTTAGAATGTGTGATACTATAGATTTAAGTCCAAGAACCATGTCTCTTTAATTGCTATTTTTTCAGCGTTTCCTGTAATTGGGTTTCACCTGTTGGAAATAAATAAATAAATAAATAAATAAATACCTTGGTGAGTGTAAGCCATTCAGATCCCCCTGGATGCTCACTAACAAAGTCGGAGAAGTCGTAGATTCCATCATGGACCCGCCACAAGCCTTCCGCACCATCGGTATCTTGCTTCTCTTCCAGCCAAACATCTACCGTTAACCCTGAACTCTTGAATCTAGACGCTGGTGGTTTTATGCCCAAAGTGGACACGGGAGCTGAAACTGGTTTGCTAGACATTTCTTGCGGAAGTCTTAATGACTCTCTACAGAATTTTATAGTTTGCCGTTTTATAAATCTAAGCTATCAAAATGACCTCTGTTTTGTTTGGTATATTTTTATAGTTATACTAATTAGCTAATTACTTGACAGCTTGTCTAAATTATATCACAGAAGAATGCATATTTGTGTTGTGTACTATTGTAACGATGTCACGTCCTTGGATAATTGCGTGGTATTTGGGTGAAGATTTAGTTCCGGATGATTTAATTACCCAAGATAAATTCTTGTTTTAGTCCAATCAAAAGAGGTTCGTCTCACGAAAGGCAGGAGATTTTTGTCATAAAATAACGAACATATTCTACCTGAAGATACCAAACCAAAAGGTAAATGAGATATCATGGCGTCACCTATGAGAATCTGTCTCAGGTGTGATTCAACAATTAGAAATGTATAAAAGGTCAATGTCTCATAGTTGGCGCCAACTATATGCAGAAATGTGCTCATAGGCTTGGCTACAACGCCATCTATGAGACAATTGCTAACTAGGCTCTCGTTTAATCTAATATAATTTTTGGACTTCGAAATACACTAAATGGTTGTCTATCTTCAGGTGGAATGCGCTGATCAATGGACCCATTTGTCACTCGCTTTAGAATACCTTTTTGCAAAAATGGTGAATGTATAATCTTAAGACACATTTGTATTGTACATTCACCATGTTTTTAATTCATCGATCGTCGTTTGCAAAATTGGTGATCGTGGATACAAAGCCCGTGCAGTCTGTTTCGTTACTACGCTGAAGCTTTACATCCCCGTAATTTTGAACGTAATCTTAACAGTTGGCTACATATTTGTCGTTTCAGCGAGATATGATATTGCTCAATGTGTTTTTTTTCAATCATCACTTAAAAAAGTCGACTCAAGTAGGTTGCCCCGCATTTCAACTCCTACAATTTTTTTCTAAAAATGACCTGAACTGAAACGTCAAACAACGAAGCTTAAACGATTTTTTTTTGGTCGAGGCTGGACCGATTTTCAAAAACTACTTTTTCCTCCTTTGCTTAGTAGCATCAAAATCCGAGCGGTATTTCTCAAGTTATAGACGGGCCAAGGGTTAGCGGACAGACGGACAGAACATCGTTTTTCGTGATGTAAGTATCATATAACATCAAAAAAAGTACAATATATATATATATATATATATATATATATATATATCTCATTTTCAAAATTTTTCGCGATTATAAAATTTCCTCGCCCAGTGACATAAGAAGTAACATTATTAATGGCAAAGTAATAGTATATATGTATCTAGGACGTTAAGCAGGCGGTTATGGCCCTATGGGTTTTTAGTACACCAAGGAACATAACGCTTGGTACATATAAAATGTTTTAATGAGTATAATATGACAAGCGCCCTAGGGCATAAAAGAGCCCGTGGGCTGAATAGTATGATTTAACTCCAAAAAAAAAAAATCCGTATCTAGGCAATCGCATAACTATCGTTCATACAATAATAAGCTCAATCTGTTGTCATCACTTTTACTTAAGAGCTGCAATTTTTTTATTTCAGCAGGTCTTAACTTAAAATTCTTTATTTATCTATCTATTTTAGCAGGTCTTAGATAAAATTCTGTATTTATCTATCCAAGGCTAATGGCCGTCTATACCTCTTGACTCGTTTGAGGCCGTAGCGCTTTGTACCTTTAGTTCTAACTTCGCGGATAAACGCTCACTTCTACGCACCGTCCTGGTTCAACCTGACAGGGGTGGAATTAGAAAACCACTAAGTCCACTACAGTAGCGAGGTAAAATTGCAGGGGCCTCGGAGCAAAGCAAATTTCAGGACCCTACTTGCTTTGCTTTTATGCTGGTGATGACAGTAGAAGGTCAAAAAACCTTCAGACTAAGTGTATGGGATCCCTTGATGCTAAGTGGATATGATTACTACCATAACACAAATTTTTCGGCTTTAAAGCAACTATCCTGACCGAACTATATGATTAGGATATGATTGAATGGTAAAAAGTCGAACAAATAATCTCGCTATTATGGCGTAATATGTTAAAAGAAGAGGATGAATGTCAAAACACGCCTTATCCACTTTTTAGATGCAGTGACATTATCTTCATATTCTAAGTATTCGTGGCTTGATCTACGTTTCATTCTATCGTTTCGTATCCCGTTTGCTTTATCCTTAATACAGTCAGGCTTAGTTATTAACTGTTAGGCTAAAGTCGTACAAGTATTTGTTGACATACCACAGCAGGTAACCTGTTGTATATTCTTTCTCGAAGGCAGAAAATGGTTATCTGCTTCAGAACAATAATTGTAGTATAGGGTGATTCAGAAAACAGCGACAATGTTTCCATGACATAAATTAGATCAGAAAATAGCACAAAAAGTCCATATAAACATTGGTTATAAAACTCGGCCTTAACGAGATACATGGTGTTGAGGTTATAATTTTATACTATATTAAGATATTGACTTAAAATGAAACGCTTGTAGTACTAGTACCATAGCCAATACATACAAAAATTCCCATACCTCAGACTACATACACCACTGGCGTAAGAATCTGGAAATTTGGACACCTACGGGAGGAAAAAGAAAATGATTTGCAAAGCCATGGACCTCTATGGAACATTATTTAGTTTTTGAATAGTATATTTTGTACATGAATCACCCCGCTTGAGAAATTTCAGTTAGACTACTCCTTTTAAAGAAAAATTGGTTTGCATGTTTGATCTAAAATCCTGTATAAAAGCTACAACCCGTTCTACTTTGAAAATACAGTGAAGTTAGTGAGTTTCTATAATTGTGATACTTTGCTGATAGCCTTGACTATTCAAACAGATCCATTCATGGAGCGAAACTGTCATTTAGTGTTGGCCAGATGTGTAGGGGTCTTTCTGTATTTTTTGACGTAGGGGCCACATATGTATCAAGCTTTGTCGAACTATGTGTAGGTAGCAGTTACCACCTCTTTATGTATCACTAAGTTTTTCAGTAGTCTATATCCGCTATCTCTATCCAATACTGATGATTCCTAATAAGCATGAAACAACATCGTATTCGGTTGGTCATGGTCATAGAGAGCAAGCATATGCAATCCAGCCAACAAAAATTGTATTAAAAAGTCATAGAAATAATTTATTTTCTATTAAAAGTAACGACTTGACCTAATCGACCTTTGACCATCTGATAACCAAATGCCTTTTGCGGAATAACATAAATAAGCTATTTAAAAATTCCGCGTCACATTATTTTTCTAAATTTCGGAGACTTGAAGAATACACGTCTCAATTGAGACTTGGTACTCTATATTTGCAAAATTGTACTATCTATCTACTAGGTTTGCGCATCACTGGCCTATTATTTGTTGTGGCTCACACCTATTTATATTACCCCCAGATATCTTCTCATTCTGCAACAGGAATCAAGTGTAACAAGTCCGAAATCAAAGATAGAGCTTAATCTCGATACGCATACAAGTCATGGTCACGCGCTCTTACCTAGGTTGACAATCAAAATTAACCTACTCACATTTGACACAATTTCAAATTAGTTGTTTCTTGTACAATTATTTTTATATAATTCTTATCTGTTTCTAATGTAGCAGTCTAAATCCTCCTTTGTATAAAGTAAAATGTATTTTAACTTCACTCAAAGGGGGCAGAAATTGTACGAATTCACATTTGACACTTTTTCAGATTAGTTCAAGCAAAGTGCCTCAGCCTCAAAATTTTTGTTTATTCGCCCTGCAATGACGGCAATATGATCTCTCGATTATAAAAACAGTACATTAAAACCTTTCAAGAACCATAAATTTATCCAGAGCTTTAGTTACAGTTACAACGACGAGTGCTTTTACTAAATCTTAATGGATTTGGGAATGAGGCCCCCTTTTTCACAAAGTTGCCCTTTGGAAAAATTTCCCACGCAAATCTCCCTGAGCGACCCATTTTTATCGGTAAGTGTTAATACATTATAGACATCGGCCTAGGACATTTAACTCTAAACTTACTCTAAATTGCCTTACCTTGACAGTTGTGAGACAATTTCGATTTATTTCAGTCCACCCATTGTTTCTTTGAGTGCTAAGTACCAATCACCTAACGTGTGTTAAACAGAATTGTATACGTAGCAACAGTGAAGAATGCAAAATAATGGAGACAAACCAAAATTTTTGATGGATACTGAAAAAATCCGACCGAAAGTTTAACTTTGAGTCTACTTTAATTTTGAATCTAAGAGTTCTTAGGAAAGGTATAAATCGTAAAGTTACATTCTCATTTTAGTGCTATAAGATTTTATTGAGGAATTGCATAATGCCCCACAAAACTATGAATATCAAAGTAACTTACAAATTTTTTTGATGGATAAATATAGTGGCAATCCATATACGTACATGAATTTTCATATTATGCTCAACAGGTATTTGCTTTTGGCCAACAATTTGCTCTGATCACAACAACTAAATAGAAAATCATAGTAAAATTCAAGCAAGGTACCCCACTATTGCTAATATGAGGTATTCCGCCAGCATTGCTATTTGATTTTCAGATTTTTCACCATCCATGATCACGAATTGCGCAGAATTCTTCCGTTCATAAATATTTACTTTCATTTCTTTGCCTCATTTAACTCCTGTTTATCAAAAACAACTGACCGATTCATATAGCAACATAGACAGTATTTTTGCTCTGCTGTACGTTTGTAACACCCAGTACGATTGGCTACTGGAATATCCTCCAAAACAACACAATTTTGTCGAAAAACAGTGCGATGTAAAGCTATATAGGTTTCCTTCCAATCTATTCGAATTCAGTGGTCCGAAGCTACATCATTTATACCAGCCAGCCCAAGGCACTTCTTGACTTTTTGTTACCAGTCGAGTCGAAAAAAAAAGGCCTTCCCTAAAAGGGGTTCAAAAATATGTTAAAGTTTCCCAGGGGACGTTCAAGTGTTACGTAGGCAGATTTTTTACAATTATCAATCCCCCTTTCTCTCCCGTGTCTGCCAACCTCTTACCAACCCCCCTTCCATGCTTACGTAAACCTTTTGGTGCATTTCACAGTTTGAAGCAGTATTAGCTTTCAATCATGAAGATCTGGCTCGCCCGACCCAACATACTTTGTTATAACGTGATAACCATCGATTTACATTGAACTCCATACCCGGTTAATACATTTCCGGAAGACTCTAATTACATATTTCTAAATGTTCATTAACTGGAACGTCACGTTGATCCAAATAAGACCCAAAATGATGAACAGTCAGTATCAAATCAGCCCGTTTCCGATCAAGAGGAGTCATTCTGCGCACTATTCAGTTATATGCATTTCTATCAGGAGCATAGATAGCTAAGCCCGTAATCACATCCATATTTGAGGAATTCCTGAAGATGCGTTAGATTTCGAGTTTAGACAAGCAGAGACTCGATAATCCGGATCAACGAAAACCAGAGCTAAACAGGATTAGTAAAAAATCCGGATTATCGGGTCTTATATTTTTATATAGATACATTATAGAAAACTGTTAATAAACTAATGAAATGGTTAAAATAAATACACTTTATTCTCAAAATCTAGAAAACGTCACAAATGTTACTTTGTTTCTTAAGTGCAATGATTATAATAAATATAATAACTATAGCCTTCTCTTGTGTTTTTTAGTGCAAAAATATATCCAATGCCAAGCTTATTTTCTTCAGTTACACTGCAACCTCATTGCAAAATATTTTATTGCATCTTCGTGCTTGATTTTTTCCGGCTGGATATCAACTTCTTCAGCGCCTGTAGACTCATACTAAAGATCGCCTTCCTCTATGACATTTTCTGCATTTTCAACCCATTGATTCATTTCATTTGTATGAATCTGACCATCAATTTGTGTCAAGATGTTTTGCCTAATAAAAGTTTCTGCCAACACTTCCCTAAACTGTGTTGGTTTCCACATTTTGCCATGCATTATGGAGTAGACAACTTGCATTCATAACGTTAATACCCTTAATGCATTTGCCGATATCATCTCCGTCTTCGACTAATGAAAGAATATGTGCTAATAGATCTTTTTGATAATTTAGCTTTGTTAATCTGATACCATTTTGTTGGTTGTAACAACGCCACTCTCGGTAAAAACAAAGTTTCCAATAGATACTAGCTTCTATTATTTGCTTCAGTTTGGCAATATAGGGAACTACAGCAGATTCATCATTTGACAATTTCTCTCCGCAGATTTTAGGATGCCTCAGGCCATTTTTTTTAATTAAGAAGCCAGCCTTTGCTTGCAACAGAATTATTTTTCTATAAATATTTTGGTAGAGTTGTTGAGCTTTTGCCCCCACTATTTCAAACGAAATGGGAATATGTTTGCATCGTTGTTTGGTAAACCAGCAAAACAATTCTCCTTCTACCTCCGGATATTCTGCTTACCGTAAAGTTTTACGAGAGCCTGGCACAGAATGTCAAATTCTAATAAATCTAAAATATTGATGAGCAAGTATGATCATCACTTTTTCTTGTCGGAAATAGTAGACGTTCCGACGCCGTACTGGTATCAAATATTTCAGCCTTTTTCTTCTTAGGCTATGTAATACATATGTTTACGTTTTACCATTTTGCCCAACACACCAAGACACGTCCAGCAGTCAAATAACCAAAATATTGGAAATTGGAAATAACGCGGTCAGAGAAATTAGAAGCGATATCCGTCCGGATCATCAAAATATCCGGATTATCGCTCTCTGAATTATCTAGTCTTTACTATATGTTCAATCAAAATCGACTAAATTTGTAGAAAATCTGAAAAGTTAAACAAAGAAGTATTCCTAGGGTTTATACCCCCTATCCACCATGTCATCAAAAATAAACAAAGCAAACACAACTCTGCCTTCCTTTAGTACTCATTTAATACTTGAATGGCCCCGTATCATATGATTTTCAAAAATCCATTCCATATGTGATTTGAATGGACTCGTTTTCTGGGTAAATAGGTTTGAATAAACACCTACAAGTTTGAACATTCCGCAAAAACGCTGAGTTCATCGACTCCAAAGCGATCTCAAGCATATAATATAAATAATAAATAAATAAATAATATAATTAACAGCGTTATATCACGGGATGGGCTATGCAAAATAAAACACCGACTTATTTTTAAAAAATATGTATAATTTATTTCAGTTCTAATTTTTTCTAAATACAACTTTTTAAATAATTTCATTATCTGTAATAGTTATGAGGCTTCATATAATAAATATTAAGGCTACGGTTTTTAAGAAAATTAACCTTAAGTGCATCATCAATAATTACGTCTTCAACTACTGTGATCTTATTTTTTAGTTTCAAATACACAAGAAATACGATCTTCTGTGGAACCTGCACAAGTTTTCATAGCCTGTAAAACAATAATTGTCCTTTGTTTTTTGAGTGAAGGCACTTGTTTCTTATAGACAGTGACACCTTGTTTGCTGGAAGATATGGTATATTTTTCAGTTCTCATTTTAAAATGCCATATCGCGAACGTTTATAGAGGACAATTAAGTTGAGTATGACACTGTCAAACTGATTTAATTATTGCTTCGGGAATATATTTGCAGGATAAACTCCAATTAGTAAAATAAAATGTTCAAATTGAAAACCTCCATTGATTCGCCTAATAGCAAAATTTTATTAAGTACAGCAAATAATTCCTATTCCGCCTTTTTCCAAAAACGTATCTTGGTTTATTTATGAAGCACATCTTCAAGTTTTTTATGCATATTTGTGAAACAGTAAGTATTAGTATACTCAGTCGTTAACAATTAGATCATCAGTTTATTTTAGGCGGAAAGCTTACCATATACTCATATACTCCCAACCATGCAAGACAGAGTATTGCTCCTAAACAAAAAGTTATCAAAGAAAACTATTTATAGATTATTATATATGTATATATGGTATTTGGAGGCATATTTTTAAAATACTCACAATTATACAGGGTGTCCTAATTTGGACCCACATATCAAAGTAGATTTTTCTTAAATGGAGTGCCCTACTTTTTATTACACATTCGAATAGGCTCTTTTAGAAGAATAAAATTGATATAACTTACTTATGCCGCAGTGGCGTAGCGAGGAGGGGGCGACGATCTGCACCGGGTGTCACCTTTTTTGGGGTGACACCAACCTGGTGACGCAACTTTAAGGACAATGTACAAACATAATAAAATTGTACAGATTGCATTGCAAAGTAAAGGCTTGACTGTTGACGAAACGGCTACAAAAATAGAGGCACTTCGTCTTTACATCGACGAAAAACGGGGTTACATTGTGGAAGAGGCAATAGATATTGCAGTTCATGGCACTTTGAGTTCAATAAGGCAAAGCGGTTTATTTTTTACAAAAAAGACAAAATGTTAAAGGTGAGTTAAAGGCGAGACCAGTTACTGCAGTGACGTTGGAAAAGCTAAAAGCATTTCTAAGAAAAACTTTTTCCCTTTCTTCAATGGCTCCTGAGAAATTACCACTGGGAAAAGAAATAAAGGGGGATAAATCAACTATTAATTTTATCCTTTCCAAACACTACACATCAAATTGGAGAAGGAATTTTTACAAAGAACACTTGAAGACGGATTCTGCCTCACCAGAAGAAACCGTTGATCGTTTTGAAAATTGCCAAAATTCCAAGAATGACTGCTTTTCGTTTGAGCATGAATCTTTTGAGATTTCTTCTTATTATTCAAATGTTAAAGTTTCATTTTCATAAATAAAATTCCCTACGTCTGCTATTAAACTAATTAATCTAGATATCGAGTTGCAACACTGGTTATTTGAAGCAAAAATCTATAAATATGTTAGGCTAGAAACCCCTAATTCCCATTCATAAAAACAAGTAATTAATAAAATTCTTCACATTGCCAGTAAACACTATTCGACGGTTGTTGGTATTTTCGATTTCCCAAAAATTGTCTTTCGACCAAATCGCCAGTTTTGCAAATAATGGCCTCATATAGTCTTATTTGGATAGTTTTTGTTGAGGAGCAATATTCCGTCCTCGTGCGGTTGGGACACGCTGTATAAACAATTATATTTATCAATTTATAAGATGGTCATTTAATTAACGAAAACTTTCATGATTTGAGGTAAGTGTAGATGTTAACCGTTCAATAAACTGATGATCTTGTTATTAAAATGGTTTATTGTTGGCTCCCCACTAGGAAGAGATATGATTAATTTCTAATGGCAGTTTCCCAAGTTTGGAAAAACAACAAAAAAGCACAACTAAGCCATTCTACCAATCTCAGTCATTATTTTATTATGCAAAAATAATGAAACATCTTTTTGACTGTGATGCATAATATATCTTAAAATACTAGTACAACTACTACCTGGGCGACTCGTATTTTGATTTATAAAAACACAAAAAATATTAACAACAAAAAATAAATTATGTTATAGAATAAAAAATCTAATTACATTTTAAATACAGGCTGTTGAAGATTCGTTATTAATTTAGTGTCCACGGTACAACATATATTACAAGAAACTAATTTTTGTAATGGAAGCTTACAATTTAGATGTTAATTAGGCTCAATGACAAATTTTCAACTCAATGAAACTTTTTAGAAATAGAAGTCTACTTTTGGAAACGATGCAGTAGATATCAAAAATTTCCCGTATAGAGGAGTTCCAGAATATGTGGGCAGTTCAGCAGGATTCTTATAGAACACAAAAAAAATAAAAAGTTCCATGAATTACTAACACTTTATACAAAAAATTAACGATATTGCGTTAGGTTATGGTCCTTCCTTAACGATCTGAATGAGTTTTTGGCAATCTCAAATACCGCATACATAAACGATAATGTTAACATCATTTGACACATTTATCCAGTGTCAAAAACAAAAAGAAGAAACGTTAATGTTTCTGATGCATTTGTGATTGCCAAAACCATCTAATTGTTCCATTCGAAGCCTCAAGTGGTTACTACTATTAATTTTCATTTATGTCCTTAAGGGAAATGTATATTTGTAATATATATGCCTCTCAGGGCATCTGCCTGTTTTTGTGAAAAATCACATCTCTAGAGCATCATGTAAATCAAAAAGTATGCGATTTAACTGTCTATAATGTATACGCAGTATAAAATGTAGTTTCCATTACAGAATGTAGTACAGTCAGACCACCATGGACACTAATTTCTTAAAATACGTTATAAACGTAAAAACTCAGTCGATTGGCTTCACTTGCGCCATGATTTTCCCTTCCCATAACGGAAGTATGTCTGCGTCATTACTTATTTCCTCTTGAATTACTTGATTACCAAGTTCTTCGCATAGGGTCTTGAAAAAGAACCTGAAACAAAAATTAAATTATATGCAAATACCTATTGTAATGCCATAAAACAATACTAGATACGCAGTACATTGGTAATGAAAAAAAAAATAGTATAATTCATAACCAAAGTAAGCTACTGAACTGCGAATTTAAAAAGTGTTCTGATTCGGGATTTTCCTATTAGTCGTATATGCAACGGATTGCCGAACCTAGACCCAAAAACCTTGTCTGCTTCTTTCGGACACTTTAGGTATAAATAAACTTCTTAATACAAATATGAATTTCGAATTATGTTTAAAACTAATTCTCGTTCGCGTCCTTATATATATATCATCTTAGTTTGTTAACGACTAATTCATAGCCGAGAATATTATTACTTTTAATAAATAATATGTGAAATGTACGTTTTTTACATAAAACAAACTAAATAGGACAAAATTCTATACGGCATTAACCCCATGGCAGTTTATTTTAACTTTTTTTTAGTGTATACAAATACTTTGGGCATCTTTTTTATTTTTTTGTTTTTTCTACAACGGTGAGCGATGATTCATAGTACGTAATGCAGTATCTGTCGACATCAGCAAAGTGGCGGTGAAAATATGAGCAAAACTGTAATCTCTTCCTAACTTCGTTTTCGTATGAATTTCGATAACTCTTGGTTGAAATTATCAATACGATTACAATTAAGTACTTTGGTGACATTTTGATAATTCTTGCAACTAAAAGCACGCCGAGTGTCAATACGTAAGGGAAAAGAAAAATGGATATTATACATTCATGAGACTGTATCCCATAAGATGTAAGAAACTGTATGAATGTGAAACCATATTGTGACAATGATAATACTAACGAGATTTACACGTTTGCCATCCCGAACCGCACGGCCATGTTCACACTGTAGACAGCTAGGCGTATAGGCACGTAGAGCACACGGTGGAAACGCTATTTAAGCGCTTTATGGTGTAAACATCGCCAATGTCAGTAGTCAGGATCAAATGCAGTCAAGTGAGTCAGTTCTCTAAACAGCACTCTATTTTGTTGAACCAAACCAATTAAAACGGTATAAGGTATAGATCCTTACCTATAATTCCCTTTCTTCGGAAGATACTCCTTGAACTGCCTTAAAGTAACCTGAGTGCCTGGAATTTTCGTCCTGTAAGGGAACTGCTCTTCGCAGAAGTTGAACACGACCGTGGTGACATCGTCAGCGGGTTGCTGAGATGCGCTAGGCCTGCTGGAACTTGTTCGCATCGATTTCCGCAACGTCGACTGGCTGCTTTGGACTAGGTCGGGGTGATGCCTACTCGATGACGACCTGGAATAAAATTGATATCTTTAATTACATTGTAGTTACTAAAATCAGGGAACAATCAAAACGAGCAATGTCTGGGAATCGTGATGGCTACGCCACAAAATCCACATGTTCAATGTACTAATTTGGACCCCTATTCTTGAAAACGAGAGAGCAGAATCACTCAGATAAAGTTTGCCTGGATCTCTTCACTGAGAAATTCTGGCAGCTGACGACATTTGTCAAAGAAGGTTGTGAACGCGTCAACAATTTTCGGCAAAATAATGTGTTCCTGAGTTCTTCATGTCATATCAAAGTCTTAAGCAAACAGAGCTACTCGTTAGTGATGTAACGAATGTAATTTTTTGAAGATTCGCGAATGCGAATATTCAGTTTTTGTTCTGGCGCCAATTGTCTATGACAGTCTCGTTCGAACGAAGTGCGTTCCGTTTGTATTTTGTTCCGAGAATTACTGAGTTTATACGTTTTATTCAAGATGATTATCTAAACTTTAAGTTGAAGACTGATGAAAGTTTCATAGAAGAATTAGTTTTTGTTTGATTCAATTACATTTAATTTTTGTGGTACAAGTTCTAATGAGGATTTGATTTTTATTTGTTCAAAGTTTTTACTCATGATTCTTATAAAAAATGATTATATTTATAGTTTATTGTAGAACAATACTGTATTTCCTAGATTATTATTTTTAGTTTTGGTTCAAGAAGTTGATTATGTAACATTAAAAACTTAAGTAAAAACTGATACAAATTTAATAGAAGAATTTGTTTTTGTTTGTCCATTGCATTCTATTTTTTTATCCTATAATATAACTTCTATGAAAATTTAATTGTTAAGCTTCATTGCCCAAAGTAAAGTAAACAAATAAATAATGGCAAATGATTAAGTGAAGACTGATAATGTGATTACGAGGTTAAGTTACTTTTTCTTGTATTTAAAAACATAAGAAATGAATTGATTTTGTTTTTATTAACCTACTATCATCTAATAATTGTATTTTCGCGGGAATTTTTCGAATGCGAATATACAAAATATACGAATATACGCGAATGTGAATATTTGTTACATCACTACAGTACTCTACAAAGGCTATCAATTTGTAGGAATGTTATACTGCTTACGGTATAAAACATAGACAGCCCCGAATCTTGCAAATTGAGAAAGATGTAAACTTTTACTTACTTTTTTTTGTTGCTGTCTATGTTGGCTTTATTTCTAACATATCTGTTTCTAAACACCTTGTGTATTGCAAGCCGTTGTCAAGACGTCCAAAACATGGTATATTCTTTATTTAATTAAAAAACGCATTCATGTTACACTAAATATATTTAATTTCAAAAATTGTATACTTGGGTAAAATAAGAATCGGATTAATATATACCTCTGTTTTTTGGTCCTCATGTCATCTTCTAACCTGCGCCTGGCTTCTTCCAGCTGAATCGCAGTGTTTGGCAAAGGCAATGGCGGCATACTGGGGTCGGCTACGAACGGTTGAGCGGGGCCTAAAGTAGCTCCTAGAACAATTTATAAAAAATATATCTTATACCCGCAGGCGAGACGTCCCTCAGGGTGGCCACACGAACAGGCATCACAACTTGCCTGACTTTTCCCTTTGCCGATTATTAACGAAATTGTCAGATCAATCCTATGCTAAAATTTTGTTCCCAAAATATTTTGTTCAAGGTTCAGTTCTATTCCAAAAACTATTTAGAGCATGTCGCAAATGACAGAAAATGCTATCCTGTAGTGTTTTGTCCTGATCATCTTTCAGTTGCCCTAACATTTCCATGACTTTCTGACTTCTAGGTTGCGTGGCCATCCTGCATCACAGACCCCTCAGACTGTACAAGATTCTTTACGACAATTTTGCACAGCTTCTTGCTGGGGTATGGATTTTGATGTAGTACCCTGGTCTTATTAGTTTTGACTGGATTGGTTAATTAAGTGATAATACTGGCAACGTAGCGTTCCATCATTCAACACTGGAGGTGCCGAGCTTGGAGGTGAGATAGGGGACATGTCATCCGCCTTCAATACAAGTTTGAACTTGCTCGAGTGATTTGGTTGTCCGTAGCGATTTTTTTTGTAAGGTTTTTTCTATACTGTTCTAAAAATGAGACATGAATTTCGGGAAACGGTGTGCTACCAGGTTTTGCTTCAGACTTGGGCACAGCGCAATAGAAACTCTTGCTAAATTTTAGCAGGCCTATGGAGATAGTGTTTTGTCAAGAGCCCAGGTTTTTTGGTCGTTAAAGGCGTTTTCAGAAGGGAGAGAGTCGACTGAAAATGAATCACGAAGCGGAAGGCAATCATTTTCAAGAACCGATGAAAATATCGACAGAATACACACCACCTTTATCAGATCAAGAACAACTGGTTGTTGCCTCAAGATAATGCTCCTTGTCACACAGCAATGCCAATAAACGAGTTTTTGGCCAGTAAAAATATTCCTGTGACTCCTCAGCCTCCTTATTACTGACTTTTTTCTCTACCTAAAGTTCAAAAATTACCTCAAGGAAACTCATTGTGGGACTGCTATGAAGAGTGGAAAAACTGTCTCCAGTGCTGAGTCGCTTCAGTAGGAAGTAATTTTGAAGGTGACAATATAAAATTGTATTTATTGAATGAAAAAATTTCAAAAAATCAGTCTCAACACTCAATTTACAGACCTAGTAGTACATATAATCAAAAAGTAGGACGGTATAAACGTAAGTATTTACAACAGTGCAAACATGATCAAATTTAAATTATTTACAAACATTGTTTTAAAAGTTGTGAAAAGAATATATTACAATGCGAGGTGTTTGGTAAAAAGCAGGAACATTAATCAACTAAGAAGTTTCGTAAATGCTGTTTAAAACTAAGATATTACTGACATTCCAGAGATTAGCGGGATATTTGTTATAGTCGAAATCACGAAAGATGACGATTACGTAATCATTTTAGACAGAGAAAAACAGAATTTTATTGTCTAAACAAACTGTATTGCTAATTTGCATGTATCCGACAAAGATAGACGCTGTTTTCATGTTGGATGATCGATCATATTTGAAAGATGAATAGTTAGGTTATGTTAAAGCAGGTTAGGTTGTTTTCTAATAATACTTTGACCTTTGGTGTTCCTATCTTAAGGTATTCTACTTATAACTGTTTTTTTTATAAACAAAAATTCCCCACTAAAATTATAATTAAGGTATCACTCAAAACCATGAAATGAAATGAAAATAAAAATGATCAGTGAAACTTCGCAAGATCATAATATAAATTTGTTGTCATTTTGTTCCTGACATCGGGATTTTATCAGAGACGTACGTCCATTGATTACTTCAGTACAATTTATGGTATGACGTAATAGTAATCTTTCATGATTTTGACTATATGTATCTTAATGCAGGAGATTTTTAAAACAGTGGGTGTATTTTGGAATAGTTACAAGAGGACAAGCCAACTTACCACTACAACTATTCCTCTCAACTGAACTGGATCTAGAGCTGAACCCTTTCCTGTGCCTGCTGGCTATAGGTGAGGTTGCGCTGCTTGTTCTGTGGCTTCTGTGCTTCAACGACATTTCACTGTGCGTGTGGCTAGCGCCTCTGCCGCTCTTGTCGGAATCCATGAGCCATGCCAGCACTCGACTGTCTTTGACAGGTGGAAGCACCGGGGGAGTGTCGGATACCACCGACACTCCACTATCCGTCAGTTCAGTTAACGTTTTCTTTGACGATCTGGAATAGAAATTATAACGATATAATGACACACAAACATCAAGTTTTTGGCTAAAATAATAAAAATGTTTAACAAACCTTATACATATTTGGAATCAGAAAAAGGGACTATTATTTTCACTGGAAATATACAGGATATTTCATTTAAAAAAATACAACTTTATTCGATAGCACTTTTCTAAGACGTATACAAAAAAATATTACATGAAAAACTATAACTTTTATCCGAGATTTGGATGTTTTTAGAACGCACAGTACGAAGCTTCATGCAATTAGAGTGGGCCAAGTGCAACGTTATTAGCAATGGAGCAGCGGACGATAGAATATCGCGTATTTGCATACGACACGTTTATCCGAAGTCAGTGATCACTACGCAGCGGCTTTTTTGCGTCGCACACTTTATTATTGGTAGGGGTAGAGCTGTTCCATCTCACCACATAATCTTAAGATGGGTGAATAATTTAAAAACAACAGGTAATCTAATGTGAAAACAGCAACCTGGTCCAAAAATAACAGTAATAACACCAGGAATGTGAGGTTTCAGCAAGATGGTGCCACGGCACATAGCGCCAACGCATCAACGAATGTTGTCTGCAACCTTTTAACAGGAAAACTCATTTCACGTTTTGGATGTGCCGTGGCCTCCAAGGTCTCCACACCTATCAATCTAATTTTTTTTCTGTGGGTGTATTTAAAGAGTCACCATCTTCACGACATTATGTGCCATACTTAACACACATTGTAAATGGCGTAATGTAACCTTCATTTTGATGTTAATAAAATCTTATTATTTTGCAAATTTCTAATGTAATATTTATTTCAAAATCGTCCAGTTGCTAGTTGTCACCCTGTGTAACTTTTTCTTTTAGGTATATATAAAAAGTTCAGGTTGGCCAATTTATAGCCGGACACTCTGTACCACACACGACACCTCCAGTCATCGCCCCAAAAACGCCAAGCAACTTCAAGAACACGGTAAAACAAACCCATAACTGTTGTAATGCATTAGTTGACTGAATAAAATAGATTTAGTATAGGCTAAGAAATCACCCATATTCAAAGCACTGGGTATACTAAAGGACATACCTTCTTCCACAAGCACCTCTAATGAATCTATCGTCAGGATATTCAGGCATGCTCTTTGACTTCACCATGGTCATCTTATGTTCAGAGCCCTCTGCAAAATCATGGACGTTACCAGAATCACTGCTGAATGTCGAAAAACCATCTTTATCCTTTCTTCTGCAACGCAAGTAAGGCTGTACATGTCTGAAAAAAAAAAGATCAGTAACCTCTTGTTATTGGTATATTTCTTATTTGTCCCTACTCCCAACAGTACACGTTGTAGAACAAAACTGAGCAAGATAATGTTTTCTCAGGTGGATAATAATCCGACAGTGGATTGAAATAGAATTTAAATAATCTTTCCAAATTCTTTGTGCTTTAAAATCGGTGAAGTGTTTTACAACCTATTAACGCCTCATTCAACGTTTTTAGTACATTCAGAAGCTACTGAATTCCATGTTAATCTTGAAACTTTAGGTATATTATTTTTTAGCTGCTGCCATCTTGATAACCTTGCCATATATTTTTTTGAAGGTCTCATCACTAATAAATTACCTGTTTCTTGGTGGCGACCGAACCCTTGGACTTGAGAACCCTGGAGATCTTGCAGGTGTTAGATCGGAAAATACTCTGGACACGTGCTGATCAAGTATATCTTGATCGTTATCGTCTTCCAATTGAAGTTTTTCGCGAATAGCGTTCGCTAGTTCTCTGGATTGCAGTTCTGTGTAAGATCCTCTTGCTTCGCCCTGAGAGAAACGTATTATTTTGTATCATTTTAGAGTAATTCAGCGTTCCAAAGCTTGAAAACTGGGTATAAGAGTAATAACTCCTTTACGATCTTCAGAATTCAACTATTTTGTTTTATAAATTGAATGGACTGTATATTTTGTTCAAACGTTATAATGGCATTTTTTGAAAGAAGCTACTTTTTTCACTTTTTGGGGATCTCAATGCAATACGTCCCCTGGAACTGACGACCAGCAGCAGTGTAGGGCTACTTGCATAGGATCAAATTTATATTAAACCCTATACGTCATCCAGAGATCTCGAGAAAAACACTTAAAACCACTTCTCAAAATGTAAACTCCTTTCAATCTAACCGGGAGCAAATTTGAACGCTCAGAGTACAATAAACTGATACACCCTTGTATTTGATTTATATTCACAAACTAAAACATATCACAGACCCTTAAAACGTGCCGAGCGCTGCTCACCTCTCTCAGCTTCTTGTCCAGCAGCTCCTGTTGGTCCTGGCCCCTCTTGACAGCCTCGAGTTTCTCGATCAAAATGGCAGCAAAGGTGTCTCTGTCCATTGGCTGGCATTGCCTGGTGTCGATCCTCTGAGTGCGCGGGATCAGAATCTGATGCATGTGCGTCTCTTGGTTCAGAGCCGCATATTCTCGAGTCTTCCGAGCCTCTATGACAGCCTTGCGTCGGGTGGTTCTCCCAAGAGATCTTCCATCGCTACAGGTAAACGTGCGGTTCAATTTAGGCATGAAGAATGTTAGGTTTGTCGGGATGTATATCATGTGAAATACAGAGAAATGTTTGTATAAAAAAATGTGGCATGTGCCATTTAATTAACCTTATTGGCTTGACAAGAGTCCTTTAGGGATAGCACACACTGAAAGCTGACAGAAGCAAAATCTTATGTCAGCGTGCGTTATCAAAAAAAAATCATTCTCGATGTTCTTCCCTGCAAAATGGTATTCTGTATTATATTTTTAGGGGTTCCTATCAATAAATCTTCCACCAACATGTACAAGGTATTTATTTTTTTTTTCATTCATTTTTGTGTTCTCTTGTGCTTATGTACAATCTCTCAATAATATTGTGCCAAAATTTCAAATTGACCGGAGCACAACTGAGTTATTGGTATTTGAGTATGTTGCTCCGATCTGATTTTTTTTACAACGGGGGCAGAAGCACATAAACCAATAGGTAGGTTATATCTGTTGAAATACAAAATGGTCGATTTTTTCAACTAAAAATTGTGTTTTGGACTTCCTAGGCTGCAAAAAATATAAACATTTGGAAAACAAATAAAAACTCGACGTTCTTGCCTCAAGAAGCCTGTCATCTAATAAACCCATTTCGATTTTTTTTTATTCCGATGATCCAGTGACGAGTGACAATGCACACCTCAAAACTACTTTTACGCGGTGCCTCCAGGGATTTGAAAATTCAACAAAAAACAGTTCAAATGTGATATTATTGTATGATACTTAAACAAATCAGCATATGCCTTTTTTCACAGAATCAACTTTATCTACCCTTAACTTCGTCTTTAGAGATGTGTCTGATGGACGACTTTTACACTTTCTCTCCCGAGAATGGCCCGGGAAGCAACTATTCTACCGATATTAGAGACATATTCTACTGCCTCATTCTCAAAAATTGACCTCCCTGCATCCCTCTACAGAGGGGTGTATTATGCAGCATCATATTTTAGACTGTCCTTGTATCTTTTTACGGTACACAAATGTTTTCCAGATAATAATCTGTGATTAACGTATTCTACTTGGGGATAGTCAACCTATCTTTGCGTGCCCGGAAAACTGTCCAGGATGAAGTGAGATACCGTAAATAATTTATTAATCATAAAGAAAAATATTTTTTTTTCAAAAAACAAGATAATCATTACATTATCTTAATCCGAGTTAGATTCTGTGTCACTTTCACTTTCTGCAGGTTCTGGGACGGTATTTCTCTTTTTCTTGTCAACTGGCAGAGCTTGGTACCAATAGTGATATTCTGGGTGAATATCGTCTTGAGTAAAAAGCTTCAAAAGGCTTTTTTTCTTCTTCTCGGAAATGCCTAAATGTCCTTTGTATAATTTTGGTATATCTTTCGGAATTGCATTTAATCGCGCTTGTCCAAAAATATTGATAATTTTGAATTCTACTTGGCTATAGTTATATTTAAAGAGAATCTGACCCGGATTTTCTTTCTCGTAACGCATAACTTTTACTTTCATCCACGATACCTTACCACCTCTCTCGTCTTTCAATCTGTTTTTCAAGAAAGCACTTGCCAGTGATTTTAAATCTAGAAAATCTGCGAATCTTAGTTCCTTACATTGATATGGCTCACTCTTCTTATTTCTAAGGCGCTTAGAGTGAGCCAATCGGAACACATTAAGTAAATCATTCATAGTAAAAATAGCAACATGTTTTCGATCAGACTCTATGGCGCTGTGCATTGAATCTACCCCCAACATTTTTCCAAAAATGTATGTTGTATGCTTGATAAATGCCTATTTTGTACCAAGTATAGAAATAAAGCGGCTATGTACTGATTGCGATTTTGACCGCTGCAGGTATCTGAATACATACTCATTTCTGTCACGTCTTTGGAAATTGTTGTTACCCATTCAAATAATGCGGTTCCAATGTCAGAACTCCCTCGTTGACCGTTAGTCTCCGTCCACACGTTATTTGGTGGCGCTGCTTCATACACAGTCAAGTTAAATGCACATAATTTCATACTGTAATAAAACTGGGACACTTTGCAAATCGAAAGTTATACTAACAAAATGCTTATCGTTTGAGGATGAGTTTATTTTTATATTGTTCACAAGTGGAACATCGATCCTTTTTAAGCTTAAAAAAAGCTAAATTATATTTACTGCAAAACATGCGTCGATACGTCGCTTCATAAACCTTTGGTTCGTTCTTGCTGTTGCAAACTTCTACGTATAATTGATACATTTTTGTGATTGATAAGCTAGGATCTAAGTATTTCCGGTAGTTAGATTTCCTGCAGTAATGGGATTCAAGAGTAGGGAAACTTTCGATATGGTGCATAACTTTTTCTTCTAGCTCCTGTGGTGTTTTATTTCCTGGTGCTTTGCAACCCGGTCTGTCTGGTAAGTGAAATAAGCCATATTCATTTACTCCAGCCAAGGCATGGTCAACGGGTCCGTGACTTATGCTTAGAGTGTTTAGAAAAAAACTTTTTGTTGTTGTAATCAATGCTATGTGCTTCTTTAAACTATTGACCAATAAGCGATAAACTAACAGACTACTCATGCAGGGCGATATAATCGGCATGCAATGGATCATTACAAACATTGTTAAAAAATGTTAACTATTAACTGTACCTTGGAAGTAGTGTAGCGTATAGTGAACCCCAGTTTTATTGATCTTGGTTAGATGTTACGACCAAATATTTTCGACAGTTCAAAAATCTCATAAGCTGTCAGATTAAACGTTAATGTTGACATAATGCAGTTTGTTCATAATTATAAGGCATCCTTTCATTCGTATAACCAACTTCAACCTTTAATCAAATGCTCGTTGCGACCTTTCCATGGAGGTTCGACGTCACGGCAAAACTCTTACCAACAGCGGTTAAAGCTGTATCTAAAGCCGAATTATGGAATACTTTTAACAACCGGTTGAGCGACCAACACACATGACAAACAGCCGATCTTTGGTTGGTCTTCTGTTAAATTCTGAATGTCGCCATATCGATTGCTCACAGCTGAACGGACGTCTAAAACAGACATAGCGCTTTGCAATGTATGGAAGAAACATTCTCTTCGCTTGCTTCATATGATGAATTATCAACACGCCTTCAGTGTCATCAAATTTAAACGCTTAGGTGAATATTAGTATTAAACACCATACTAATTGATATTAGTATAAGGAGTTCGCTTTTCATGTCTTTTCACAGTCCAAAAGTAAACAATACGAATGTCATGATAACCTTAAAATCTGATTTCACACCACTTTTCCTTCATTCTCTGGTTAAAGGTTATGACGTCACAGCATTGACAAAGCGTCAACCGTACTTTACCAAGTTAAAAGAATGAAAGGACCCCTATAGTTTTGTCAATCCGTTAGGTGTAGTGGCCAAAGAGATAAGTTCTTGTCCTAGTGTCTGACATGTATTTTTAATTTCTTTGGATTCTTGGGATATATAGGTCCCAAAAAGTGTATTTTTGCCAACGTTCTAAGGCGTAACAAATAGCTCTTAGGTCAGCTAGTTGCCAATTTTCTGAGAGCCGTGTTATTTTCTGTTCAGTAAGGTTTGCTATTTAACCATGAACAAGTTAACGTTACCCTCAACGTTTGGAAATCGTCCAAATATTCTATCAAAGTTCGAGAAGTTTTGTCGCTACTCAAAGATCATTTAGTGCAGAATATGGTTGTCATGGTGCACAGTCTCAGCTCGCTATACGTCGCATAATTTAAAAACTGAATAGAAAATATTCTTTGCACGATAGTAGACCACCAACCAGAATGCGATCTGGCCGTAGTGACGTGAATATAGCGGCCTTATCAGCCAGTGTCGCCGAAAATGAAAATGTGTCCGATCCACGCAGTTCACAACAATTGGGGCTAGCCAGAATGACAACGTGGCGTATTTTACGCTTTGATCTCGGACTACATCCATGTAAAATGGTATTGACACAAGAACTCGAGCCAACAGACCATCGGTTGCGTCGTGAGTTTGCCAGAATTTCATCGCAAAATGATCTTCTCAGATGAGGCTCATTTCTGGTTTAATCGATATGTCGACAAACAAAATTGTCGATATTGGAGTGAGTCAAATCTAAGAGTGGTCCATGAAACACCATTACATCCAGAAAGATTGACGGTTTGGTGCGGATTATGGTACGGTGGCATCATTGGTCCGTACTTCTTTAAAAACGACGGTTACTGTCAATGGCGAGCGTTACCATGACATGTTGAACGAATTTGTTTTTCCTGAAGTTGAAGAAACTGATACAGATGCCATTTATTTTCAACAGGATGGTACAACATGCCATACTGCAACAGAAACAATGGATTTACTTTGGACGTTTTTTTTTGTTGGGGTATGTTTATGTGTATGCCAATAACCCAGCAACAATTCAAGATCTTGAACGCAACATTCAATTAACTATAGCGGCCATACCAGCCAAAATGCTGCACAGAGTCATCGAAAGTTGGTGTCCGGATCACCCAGTGCAAACAGAGCCATTTGAATGTATTGTTTAAATCATAAATGACATAAAATATACTATCAAATAAAGCCAATGAGTATGCAAATTGATCAGACTTTGTTTGCTTTATTTCACTTCCTGTCGTTCTTATTAGGAAACTCCTTGCCATGGAAAAAACAAAAACACTATGATGTCAGTTCAGACTATAATGCTCCATTAAACCAACTGGTGGGCATGACTTTATTTTTCCATGCTATATTCATTAATTTGTTTTTCATAGTTGACTTAAGGGTCGTTTGTTAATCCGAAGAAATTAAAAATACATGTACCCAGATATCCGAGTTAAAGGAAAAAGACGTGGGAGAACAAAAAGGAGAATGTGGGTTAGTTGAGGGGTACGTTCTTAGGCCCGTATCGTCAGTCGTCCCTACAATTGTAGGGCGCCTTTATGACCTCCTTGATTGTCATAGTTTTCTACTTCTCCCTGTCAGCCTCTATTTTGAGGTTATCTCACAAACATCTATTTGCATCAAATTGTGCTTGCTTTTGAGTTATATCATGTTTTATCAGCCTGAAATTTCCTACAATTTAAAAAGAAAACATATCTTCACAATAGGAGAGCGCTGACGCTGACACGGGACAAGTGTAATCTAGAAATTTTTGAAGGAGGGAAAGGAGTATGACAATCAAGGAGGCCATAAACGCGCCCTACAATTCTAGGGACGACTGACGATACGGGCCTTAGTGCGAGCAGCTAATTATACGATTCAATTTTGTTCGGCACTGGCCTTATGTGGTTGCATGCTTGTCTATCGTATCATGAGGTACGTATGATTTCCGTTTAATAATGTTGACGAAACCTTCCGCATGCATATGTAATATGACCATCTTACCGGATTTTTGAACTGTTCATAATATTAATTACATAAGGTGTACATTTGTGAATTACTTACAGCGAGCTATCTGTCATAGACATGTTATCCGACTCGGTCCTAGCATCAGAGTGACTACTAAGGGAGTGCAGTTCGCTATCTTGCCTGGACACAGGGTTGTAGGAGTTGTAAGCTGCGTGAGCTCCGGTAGTGTTGGGGCGGTACATAAACATACTGAATCCATACAAGCAAACCAAAGAAAAAAATGATAAAAAACCGGCTGCAAATTAAAAGAGAGCTGTGCACATCGAGAAGAACTCTGCGTGATCAAAATTGTTTTTTATGATCTTATTCCAAACGAATGAAATTCCGTTCTTACCAAAGATGAACTGGTCGGCATATTCAAAATGCAAATGCAAACTTGGTTCTTATAGATGGATGTTAATAATGATAACGAACCTTTTTTGATCACACTTCTTACTCGGCGTTTCTCGCCCAATATTCAAGCATAAAATGCAAAAGCTAAATAACAAAAAGCAAAAATAATGACTTACCTAGCAAATGTTTCTGATTTAGGCCTTACATCTAGAGCTCTGTGTTTCTGAGACATCAGCAAGAGTTCTTTTGTCAAGCGAGTTGAAGATCCCGCGCCAACGTTTGGCGTGTGGTAGCCGGTACTCAGACTACCTGTAATAAAAGAAACACTTTTCGACTATTTTTCAAGTATTCGGGAAAACAAAACTGGAATTGCTCAGGGTAGTACTCTTGGCCTTTTATTATTTATCATATTTCTAAATGACCTGGAATACATTGCAAGCTCAGAGATTGAATGTGTGACTTGTTATTCTGGCGACCCTAATTTATTGATAGATCAAAGGGCTGTTGAGGATCTTGCAGTATCGGTAGCAAACCTTTTTTCGAGAGCAAAAACGTGGTTCTCAGGTAACAGGTTACTACTTAGTGAAACAAAAACTAATGTATTAATGATCAGCACAAGACAAAATAGAGTTGAAACGCCTGCAACATTCAACTTCGGGCAGTCAGAGATTCAATCTGTGTGCAATATAAAATTTACTCTTGTTTTTTTCCTAGAGTGTACTGTTTTCGTAAAAATAAAACAAATTCGATCATTCATGAAGAGCCGAGATTCAATTAGTTTCAAAATAAAATAGGAGGCCTTGATACCAACTTGACGTTTCTCGGCAGATGGTTTCTGAAAGTTATGTGGTATATGGTTGTTATCGTACGACTATTACTACTACCATTTCTTTTTTATAAAAGTAAAGTCAAAAGTTTCTTCTTTCCATTTTTGTGTACGGGTTCTGTAACGGAAATGCTTTAGCGGCTTCTCGGGAGTATCCACGTAGATTTCCTAACAGACGCCAACCTACCCCAAAGGTTCATTTCTAAGACTGCAGCAATACGGAATTGCCAAGCTTCCCAGAGTTAGAGGCCAATGGTGTCTGGCATACTCTTCGAGAGGAACTGGAAGTTATTAATTTGGCGTTGGATGATCCTAGCACAAGTTCTAGGCGGATTGCAGCCAAGTTAACATGTTCACAAAGTCTTGCGTGGAGAATTATAAATCGGGAAGTTTTACATCCTTACCATCGGCAAAATGTGCAATGTCTGCAACCCGGCGACGAAGTGCAACGGCGAAATTTTTGCGAGTGGTTACTGCAAATGCATAATCAAAATGCAGATTTTATTGATTTGTTTTTGTAGTCAGATAAAACGCTTTTTACGAGGAGTGGAACCTTTAATTCTCAAAATGAACATATTTGGTCGTTAGAAAATCCCTGTTCTGTAAGAATCCGCTCGTTCAGCAGCGAGAGTACGAATGTGGTATCAGCACAACGGTGCCCCACCGCATGTTCGTCGTGACATAACCACATGGTTAAATAATCAGTTTAGACAACGATGGATTGGCAGAAACGGTTACCCGTACATTAGCCTCCGAGGTCTCCTGGTTTGAACCCCCTGGATTTCTTTCAAATTACTACTGTTGATTAGTTACAACAGGGTTGTCCAACATACGGCCCGCGAAGTCCTTTCTTGCGGCCCGCTTCACGGGTCATGTATACATCACATGTATAAATAAATTACTCTCAAATACCGAATATGCACAATTCTTACATTAACGATAAAATACAATAACAACACAAGATTTTATAATGCGGCCCTCCAAACTGCATTTTTTTTGAAGTGGCCCCTTGGGCCACATTAAATTGGACAGCCCTGAGTTACAAGAAAGAATACATAATGCGTTTCAACAAATTCAGGCCACAACAAATTTTGCGGAATTAGAACGATGCCGCACTTGTATCCGTCAGAATGGTGATCTTTCTGAACATTTATTGAAATAAAGCTTTGTTTATCTAGTTTCTTTTTATTTTTACGAAAACAATGCACTCTAGAGTAACTATTTGTAGCAAACTGCATGGAAAAAATTGCGCAGTTCGAAAAAAAAAAACGGTGGCGTACTATTTTTATTTGGAGAAATAATGCCACTAATCCTCTGTATCTCCGCCACTGGTGCACGTTTATTTTAAATAAAGACTTTTGAATGTGGGAAATACGTAGGCATACCCACATACCAAATTTTACTTCATTCCAGTTGACGGTAATGAAGACATTAAAAAGGAGTTTTATTTTTAAGGTTCAACACTCAGTATCTTTTTAATGAAGCCCTCGAGGAAAAAATGTTGCATACATGACCCCCCTTAAAATGCGATCCTGTGTATGATGTTTCAGTTTTGATCACGACTTGTAAAATCCTGTATAATGACTATCTGATAAGTACAAGGCCTACTTTGGAAATTCTTGTTTTGTATAATTATAGCGTTACAATATCAATGGCATATGCATTTTTAAAATCAGAACTCTATTCACCTATGCAAAAATCCAACATGGCGTCCATAATAAAAATAAAGTTGATGATTTGGGGGCAAAAGACGAAATTCAAATTATGTGCAATTTATTTTGAAATCTCACCTCAAATCAAGTCAGCAAAAAAATAAAAACGATTTTGAATGCAATCTTTTCTTTCCATCTCCGGAAATAGCCTAAATTGCGAGACTTTCTACATGTCATTTTCTTAGTTATCTTCATGTGCAACTTATTTGCTCTCAATTAACGGACTTCGTATTTTTTACCATTTTCAAGATTCTAATGGTAAGAGTCGAATTTGAAACACTAGGTATAATATAGTACTTTAATCGTAGATTTGCCCACTTTGACTTGGTTATGAGTACATGCAATTAAATTGTTTATAACAGTCGACGCGAAGCAAAAAAATGCTCAGAGATGCAGAGTCACTATGTAATAATTAATGAAATTATGAATATTTTAAGAATCATCCATCCACTTATATCCCGGAAACGACGCATTTAATAATAACAGTTTTACGAAGGGGATGTTGAGTTGAGTATTGTCGTACTAAAGTTAGGATCACCACTTTTAGAAAAAAGAGATAATATTTCACAAGTCAAGTTGATAAATATGTTCCATAATATCATCAGCCAAGCATTTCTAGTCTTTATGCGCTGGACATAGGAAAACAGTCCGTATCTTCAATTTTAATGATGCGATATTGTACAAATCATTACAACTTGAAATGTCTGAAAAAGTATAGTTACAATAGTTGGTATTACTAACTTTTTAAATTATTCAAGGGTATTAATGGTGACATAGAAAACGGCATAACTTTAAGAAACTAATAGAAACATTGCAACAACAATAAATGCTAAATGCTGCTAAATCATCTGTCATATCTAAGCCGATGCACACATCTTGCATAATTATAACCCTGGCGTAGTAATTCCACCGTCCAGTAGAGGGCGCGGGCAGTCTTAAGCCAGGAAATTGCAACCAGGTGTTGAGCAAGAAATAAGGTTTTTTGAACTGTAGTCAACAAAAATTAAATATTTACTCGACGATTATTAAAGAATAAGAATTCTCTAATTTCATTTATATCTTCAAAGAATTTATTAAGCCGAATTTTGTACAGCAAGGACAAAAATAAATGATCTAGTTTGACTGAGCTATTACAAACCCACAAAGGGAAAAAATAGGTTTTTGTAGCTAACATCAATGGATATGTAGATGGATTGTTAAAAATATGTCCTTTTTTAAAATACCCTTGTTATTATTTATTGTTAATTGCTGTCATATAAATTTAGATATATGTATACTAGGGCCCAAATTCTGCTTTTTGATTGATCGAGATAGTGCCATAGTCGCAAAGTACGTTCGCGGGCTCAAATAAATAATTAGGTTTTTGTAGCTAAATCCATCTTACACAAATTATATAAATTTTCTTTAGTTTGAGAGATAATTTACAAGAAATCGACTATATTCATTAGATCCGTTACCTCAAAAACGCCTTATCAGTTCGTGCCTTGGGCGCAATTTTAAGCCCCTGATTACATGGGAGCAAGATTTAGCATCTGCTAATTCCACCATCTAACCCCGTATAAAAGTGAAAAAAAACAAGTTGAACAAAAACAAAAATTGTGAAAATTTACGGATTAAGTCACAAGACAATAGAATGAGTAATGCCAATTAAGCTATAAAAAGTAGAAATGATAATAGGTTATAAAGAAACGGAAAAATAACTGATCATAAATAAAATAAGCTAGGGGTTGTTCTGCAATTCTTGTAAATATCTTTTCAACTGTACTTTAACAATCCGAAAAGACTGGGTAGTCTTCAGATCCTGGCCTAAGCTATTGTAAGATAAAATTGCATTGTAAGTGAAAGATATGGATTAATGGTTTAAGTATGTCACATATTATTTCACTGCCAAATAATATGGCAGAACATTTTGATGGATCTAGTCTTAAGTTGTGAGAGCCACAGTACCTATTACTACTATCAAGATCTGCAATTACTAGCATCATAGACTCCTAAACATTGTCGGCATTAAAACTACACTTCTTCTGCGTATCATCAGCACAAAATTGAGCATGGGTATTTTTGAAGTTATCCTGTAAATCTGCGGTGTAAAGTAAAAACATCAACAGTTTCAGTACTGAGCCTCGTGGTACACCGGACTGAATGTATTTTGATGTCGAGATTTGACTATTCAAGCAAAATGCACAATCAAGCCTTAACCTTTAAAAGATCTCAATGGTGAGAGTCAAACTTTAAAGGCACTGTACATTTTCTTAGGCTTACCTGAAGTATGGCTCATATGAACAGGTGGATTCATTATCAGCTCCATATCTTCGTGTAACGTTGGAAGAGGATCTGGTCCGTTCGCCAAGTTAGATAATTCATTACTATAGTCGCTACTACTACTGCTACTATGGTTTTGAACATTCTGAAAGAAAAAGTAGCCATGATCGGCATTGCACATCCCAAAACTACTGTTGAAAATTTCACAGGCATGTTGTATATATAAATTAACAAACAGTATAGAAAGAGGAAAGTATTTGATTGATTTGCTGATTTAGTTAGCGTTTAGATAACCAAACGCTTGATGCTATTTACAACTAGAAAGTATTAATTGGCAAGTAAATCAGGGTTCATAGCATGTAGTTAAAATCTATTTGGACGTATAAAAATAATTCTTAGAAAAATTCATATGATGGTTAAGAGAAATATTAAAAAATAATTGATGATTTACCTCTAAATATTGCAGGTACGTATCACTTTTGAGGAAGTTTGGGTAGGTAGTCTCATCAATTAGCTGTTCGACTTTGGCCTGGGCCTTGTCAAACAACGTTACTGGAGGTTCAAGGCACTGAGAAAATTTAATACTTCTTCCAATATCTTTCCGTAATTCCTCGTCAATTGGAAGAGCTGATTTCACGAAGAATTTCCTGGAAAAAAGCATCAAATGTATATATCACTTAACAGAGTATGAAGATATAATGAAAACAGCTTTTGTTAGTACCTGACAGGCACCATGAGAAAATGACCAGAAAACGTACCTCACTTTTCACATAAATGATCGGAGTGAATGCAGTTGACCATTGCAAATTAGCATAAAACTATCTTTTCAAACCCATGGATTTCAGGTGGTATTTTTTGTAACTAATTCAGTTTCTTCTGCAATAACACCGTTTAAATCATTAATAATTCTAAAATCCTCAGTCATAAAGGTACGTTGTAACAATGTTCCTCCAAAAATTCCGAGTCCAAAGAAATTCCACTTATCTATAGATCACGCTAAGGCTTGTGGATTCTGATAGGGTCACAAAAAAACTTTGCTTTCATGTGAGTAGATTTGTAGCATCACTTCAGAAATAGATCAACATTTCTTAAGCAAAAATTATTAGGTTGGTACGTCATTGCGGAATGATCTATGCGTCTATGACATTCATAGGGATAAAATAAAAGGAAGATAAAAATATTTTTTAAATAAATGAGACGCATACAATAGGAGATACTAATCAAATCTTTTTTAGGTAAAAATATATCATAAAATGAGGCATATTGCTGTAGTGTAGATATATTTTCCACCATGGTATCTAGCTCCTTTTGTGTGCCTCCAACAAATGTAAAAATGCTAAATGAAAACGTAGCTAATGCCATAGTGGTGCCGCCGTTCTCTAAAATAGTAAGACACTCACTTATAAATAACCTTAACTAGCTGCTGTATCTTCTCCTTTGCAGTTTGCTTGCGCAGTCCCTCGCAGGCGAACCAGAAGTCGAGCGCATCGGAATGCCTGCGTCCCTCGGAGGCGAGATACTGCTGGAAGAGGCGGACCCCATCGGGGTCTTGGAGGAGGTGCCGCAAGGAGTACGTCCAGCGCAAACATGCGGAGGGAGGGGAATAACAGGGGGCAGCACCGGCGCCCAGTGACGTCGACGCCATGGACGCAGACGCGGCGCCTTCGACGTACGCCAAACTTCCATCTAGAATGTAGAAATTCAAATTATTGATTATTTTAGACATTGAAGTATGAGGCACATAGAATAATAATGGTCTAAGTCCACTCATTTGAAAACTCGCGCCATTCACATAAAAGGTATCAATCTAGTTAGATCTATCAGTAAGCTAGTCTAACTCCTTGTTTCGGTCTCCGGTCAATAGATGGCGCCATCATACTATTATTCTGATTTGAATTCAATATAATTCACTGTAATAATGGTATAATCATTTATTCAGGATATTACTGGAACATCTGAGGAGTTAGACCACTATTATTCTATATGCCTCATATATGTATACGATTTGTCAACTTACACATCTAACAATAAAAAAAAATGTATAAGACAAACAACAAACAAAATAACGATTGAAGGCAGAAGTGGATAAAGGTTTCATGTACATTTTTTAAAATTGCTTTTTTGCATTAAACTAACCTTAAGGAGTGATTCTTTCATTCTGTGATTACTTTGTGGTAAAAATAAGATAATAACAAACTAATTAAATTAAATATTTAAAATGTCAATAAAGTAAAAAGTCCCAGAAAAAAAGGTTTAAAGTCAATTTGCTCCATTAACTGATTTTGTTACATGACACCTTTATCCACTTGTGTCTTCAATTATAAGCAAACAAATTCTGAGATGGCATAATAATATTTTCATACAAGGAATTCTTTCAACTTTGCCGGTATTGAAGCATTCCTTAATATCCCTCAGTAGCCTATTAAATACTTCAGGTCACAGTATATCGGGCAATTTCATAACAATATTGTATGTTATTTAGCATAAGCTACTTTCAAATCACCATGCTTGGTTTTATAAAATCTATTAATTCAAAACTTAAAAGCATTAAGAGACAGTTCATATAAAAACAATGAGGGAAGGGTAATGATTTTTAGTCTTTTAAAAATATTTACACGAGTGTAAACTGTCAACTCTAACTAAACATCTAATTGCTCTTTTTGAACTCAAAAACACCTGGTGAGCATTACCTGTCAAACCCCAGAAACGCAAAGCGCATCTTGACTCTATTTGGGCATTGCAAATAGCAACTAACTGACTCTCAGCAAGAACTGATTTCAAATTTTGGATTAAATATGTCTGAGAGTTTAATTTTGAGACTAGGCGCTCACAATGGTCCTAAAAATTTAGGTTTGCGCCAAGATATAGTCCCAGAAACTTGACTTAAGTTTCAACAGGTATTATTGAGCCACATGAATGCTAAACGCTTCTGCGTTTTTTCTGATCATTATGGAATCTTACAAGTGATGTTTTTTCTGGATTCAATACCAGTTTATTACTGCTGCACCACAGATGAATATTTTTAAGCAATGCTTCACATCTCCTTTTTAAGGAAGTATCACACTGGTTTGATACAACAACAGAAGTGTCATCCGCATAAAGAGTGAATCTACCTTCAGAAGAACAATGCTTCAAATCGTTAATATATAGAGAGAGATAATGGACCCAAAATTGATCTCTGAGGTACGCCTAGGGTGAGCATTTTCAGATTTTATGTCATATGTTAGAGTTTTGAAGGAATATGATATATATATTCTCATCGGTATTCCATGCAAATTCCTATAATTTCATGTGAATTAATTTGAATATTATAGCTTTTTCAACGCTACACTTCCCATACATCCTTATCACATAATTTTTTGACAGTATAATAGCCTGCATAGGATCTGTTTGCTTTCCGTGTCTGCGACCATAGCTAAGCGTATACATCGTTGTTACCTGCCTTTTTCAACAATCAGTACGATATAGGTCTAGCTATATGGAGAGAGACGACGGAAAACAAACAGGAGAACTGAAAAACTTGTAATGTGACGATATCCTGATTTTTGTTTTTTGAGCTAAGCAGGCGCCAATTATATTGGACGTACATGTATATCTATTTCTTCTTTTCGCATATCATGGTCTTGGTTTAACAGTTGTATTTTTCCATGTGGAAAAAATATAAAAGATTTAAGAACAGGGTATCATCCTCTACCTAGTGCATTTTCGAAAGGCGGGACAGATTTTTTACATCCATTTTTCAAAGATGATGTACGTTACCCTCAATTTACCGCTTGTGTGTCGGAAATACATTTATTTGAAACTCGTGCATTGAAAGAAAACTCATTCAAATCCTCTGTATTCACCACAGAAGAAATCAATATGGTTTGATTTTTATTCTAGATACCGTTAGAACGTAAACACACGTTAAATTATCGCAATCGCCAAAGAATATAGATAATTGTTTTCACATCTGACGGATGACTAACCTACATGGTAAACCTAAGGTCACATGCTCCAGACAAGTCGTGTCGAAACTTGTTACGTTACACAGGTTGTTATCACATCACATTTTTTGCGCGAAAGTTTACGTTTGAACTTTGGAGGGCAAGCTTTGCCTTGCCACTTCTCGATCATAGAAAAACGTGACAACATTTAAAATACACTAATTGTGGACAAAAACTGATATTCTGCAGAAAAAAACTGAAAAATGCTGCAGTTTTTTAAACTTTATGACTCATTCGAATGAACTATATCACTTCTAACGATGGAGCAATCCTTATCAGTCATGAGATGTTTCTTACCATTCGTATAGCTGCAATGTTTCCTAACAGGAATCGGAGGGGATGGAGCTCTAGGCTTTGCCCATCCCTCATGTTGCTGCGGCGGGTCCCAATCCGAAGTGAAATGACTTCTTTCCTCCCCTGGAACTGGAGGACGAGGACACTTATGGTCGAAATAGGCCTCATGACTCACTTGCTTTGCGCTGGAACCTTTGTTCTTTTCGCGTTCGTTCATGTTGAACAGGGCCAACTGATGGTTAGCCCCTTCTTCGTCGTTGGTTCGTTAAAGCTTGTTCCCTTAATTTTGGAGTGTGAATACTTCATGGTGAGTCCTAAAAGAAATAAGTCAGTTTTAGTTCAATCCCGGATAAAATGATACTGATCTATGACTTTTCAATGTTCAATTAAAATACATCCAAAAGGTGTGCTCGATAAAGGTTGGTTAGAATTTAAAAATTCTATATAAACGTGTTTTATCATTACACAAGATTACTAATAAAATTATTCATCCAACATGGGGTTTGATTAACTTTATTCTAAACCAAGCTGTTAAATCCACTGAAAATGGCGTGGCATTTGGTCAAATAACCAAAATAAGAGATGAGTCATACTCATACATAACTGAAAGATTCATAAATTTAAAAAATACCTGCATAAATCCTTTCAAAAATAATTTTTTCAAATTATTTGACTGGACACATTGGAACTAAAATATTGAAAAAGCTGACTTCTTTTTATTTAGCATACAACAAAATGTCTGCCATTCACCACCCCGAAGCATACGCTTGGGTGTGGTACACACCGATCGATATGAGTTCGCAGTCACAATGAACCTACAGTGAGCAGGGTGTAATATAAGGCATCTATTGTAAAATTAAATAATAGGATTTAAAAATCATATTTTTAATAACCTCTTACACAATGTGCCTACATACACCTGGTTCAGGTAAAAAATAAATCTCATATTTCATTAGCCACACTCTAAAAATCAGTCAAGCAGGCAATATTGATATAATTGCAGGTTTTCTAAGGGATGAATCCTATTCATAGGCACTCATGCAAACAAAAATATTGCATTACAATTAAAAAATTATGATATACATATTACAAAAAACTGCTAGGGTTCTCTTCGACAATACACATACACACATCGCAGTAACCTGTTAACATACCCCATGGCACATCGGACCAGATTTCACACACAAATATTAAATACCATCACATTTATTATTTTGTAGGATAGAAAAGGTGCTGTCAGGCACTATCAAGCAAAATGTATAGATGTGTTATGACAGGCTGCCCGAAGAAGAATGAGTATATGATGGAGCGTACAATGAAGAAAACTTTTCTTCGATCGATACCCTTCGGACTGGTGGGGGTGCAATGAATCTGACCGATGTTAGGGGAACTATGATTACTAGATTGGTGGGATGCAATTGGTACAGATAACACCAAAAAAATTGCATAAGTTCAGTTTGGAGTATTTTTGGTAACTTTCTATAGATCTTGACACAGGGATCTTGATATCACCATTTTCATATATAAAAACGTTTAGGTAATATTTTAAAACATATTTTTACACAAAACGATGACAAAAATAATGCACCCCACCTGATGATTTTCCAAAGTTCTGTGAATATAGAACTACCAGAGGTTCATGCAAATTTCAATATCATCAAGAAGTTGATTCTAATGCTGGAAGTCAATCATGAAAAGTTGATATGTTCCGAAGGCTGATCGGAAACATCAGCTTTGCCGCTCTACAACGACAAAATAACAAAAACGCTTGCTAAACCTTGTCAACGTGCTACTCGTGTAAAATTAGATCGTAGACACTTGTATTTTTTAAACTTGTTTAAGACCTTATTTTATTATTATTATTTATTATATTTCAAGCAAATAAACGTCAGTTCATATAAATTATTATGAAGTTTTAAATATGTCATATTAATTGTATATATAAGAAGGTGTATCGCAGCGGTTGGAGAAGTCTTATGCGCCATTTGAGTGCACCTCTTTCCTAGCAGTTGCGGCGCTATACAAAGAGAGGACTTCTCGCCGATTTTGGTGGGTCGCAGTAAAACTACTGGTATCACCTCCATATCTTTCACAGATACAGTTTGGCTCATCCATGTGGGGACGGAATAGGTGTATTACTCACAAACAACTATATTTGGGAAAAAACTATTTTGAGATATTAAAGATATTTTGTAATATCTGAAAATTTTAATGACAAAAATTCGATGAATAACGTGCTTACAATTCGAAATAATATCTCCAACAAGTAATCTGTTGTCGCGTCAGTCCCCAGACCAACACAAGTTTTCACGGGAAACAGGTAACTTTGGTGGGCCCACGGAAAGAGGTGGTGGGGAAGATTTGGGCATTAGAAGTGAATGTAAGTACATAGGTACATACATATTTCTGTAATGAGAAAATGACTCAGGGGCGTAACAAAAGAAAGAAATGTCAAGTAGATTAACTCACTTCTCACGCATTCGTACTCAGTTAATTTTCAAACTCCTTTCACCTAAGTATACTTTCTGAATTTCTAAGAAACGTCGCACCATAATATAGTTATAGATTTTGGTGACGCCTAATATATTATGTTACATGTCATCACCCAAATATTTAAGGGATTACATTCATGTAAAACGGTGAAAAACACAGTATGCTGATTTTTGCAAATCTTAGAACCGACATTTAATTATTATGTCAAAAAGTACACACTGTACACTTGGAAAGCAAGCGGCAACAAAAATTGTAAACGGTATGGTGCCATCGTTTCCTGCTCATTAGTCCCACACCTATGAAATAGCATTAGCTCCTGTGTCACCACAAAATAATGCTCCACAATTTTAATAAAACCGGTGCAGGCGTTTCTGAAATTACATGGTTACAAGAACGCCAACAGAACGACAAACCAACAAAAAACTTGTTAAATGAAGTTTGATATTTTTGCAATCACAGCACTTTGGCTCCCAACCTCTTAGACATATTTCATACATCACAGACTTCTCCGTACATCATTAAAAGTTACACTAACATATACTAATATTCTCAGCAGACGGATCGCGTACCTACCCACCGCGGCTGCTGCTCCCGACCGCTTGGGGCCGGCCTTGGCGAGTGTTCTGTTGTTCTTGTATGCCGTGATCGCGCTGCCACGTCTGACCGGGGAGAGGCGACGTTTCCAGATGCACTACCGGTAGAGGCGAAAAATGTCTATAAGGATTTTTTCGCGAGTCCACGGTGTAGCACAGTGCACTACCGGGAACCGATACTCAAATTTTCGCGAATAACGGGAATAGGGGAGGACAGATGTGACGTCGCCCGAATGTCAAAAAATCACGTGGTACTGGTACCCGCCTAGCGTCTGTGAGGTACTAGCGGGTGACAGGTCTTATGTCAACGTGATTTAAAAAACAGGCATCTCAATTGAAAATTTGTCTTCGCAGTGCTGAAAATTGAGTTACATTATTAAATCATAAATGGAGGAACACGTCCACCTGATTTTAAATGACGAGGGAAAAGGCCATCGAAGATATACGAACCGCACTTGTCATATCAAATGATTGATTTTATTGATATATATATATATATATATATATATATATATATATATATATATATATATATATATATATATATATATATATATATATATATATATATGTACATTGCACAAAAAACGATCGCTCTTTTTATTTCAGATTCAAACAAGGCAGCTAAGTTTATCAAGCAGCTTAAAGCAAACATTTTGCGCAACATGCGCCATCTAACCACTCCCGGTGTAACTTGAAACTGTCAAAACTTCGAGAGGAAGGGGAAATTCCATCTGTTCCCGCTCCGGTTCACTACGGGATCTCGCGAAAAAATCTCTTATGGACTAATATTATGGGCTTGTTTGACTGACTTTTTTCTCAGAGGGCCTAGTTTGTGCTGAACATAATCCTTTATGAAGTGATAATGGCGTTGCGTGGGAAGTGCACTCAGTCTACTGGACATTTTTTTTATTTTTATATCACCGCCTTGGAAGTGTTCGTGTCAACGTATGAGTCTTCCACACCTATGTTTAACACTGTCAATATGAAAAACTTCAACATCGACAGGCTGCTTTTTTATGGTAATATTTTCAGAAAGTGAATTATAGCCGTATTCTATCACCCTGTTCATGTACGTGTGTGCAAGAGCGAGTAGCAGCTGCGTTAAGGATCGGTTTGTGCAATGTGCAATTTCCTGTAGAGAAGTTAGGGTCCGTACATGGTACAGTTAGTCAATGAGAGCACTCAGTCAACGTAAAGCGGTCCAGTGGTACAACACTTTTATGCTGAATAGCAGTAGCCATGGAATAGCTTTTAGAGTTCGCAATATTCTTCAACCTACTATCAAATCTGACAGCCAAATGAGCTGGACCGCTTTACGTTCACTGAACGCCCCTATTCTGGTACTTATTTCATATACAGTTGTGACGTAACCACACCACAAAAAAGGGGAAAAAGAACTATATAGTTATATCGTAGGGCATGGGTTATGATGCTTACACTATAGTAGCCAAGCGCTTAATGGCGCATAGCCATGCAGAGCACACGGTGTAAACGGGCACAGAACAACATTTATACACAGAAATATGGTAGTCTGTGGCTATCTAAATATTTGGATACCTGCAGTGTACACATGGTCACTTATACGTACCGCTAAAATTGAGTGAGAAGAGCACAGCTATTGTGGCACTTATATGAAATAATAAATAATAATAAACATAAAAAATGAGTCAAACCAAATTTCTTGAATAATGATATCTAGATTTGACTGATGTACAAAACCGATGTACCACTAAAATTATATTTAATGTAATCATTTTTAAAAAACAGTATCCATAATATTATAGTATCGTGAGTGTACCATCATCGATAAAAATATAAACAATCTCAGTTGTTGAACGTTTACAAACTGTAAAAGGTTACTATAGAAAGAGAATCAATTTCCAAATCTCTTTCTTGGAAGCACTTCCTAACTAATCTGATCGGGGTAGTAGTGATCCAAAGACCTCCTTCAGAATTAGAGCTAATTTTTCACATTATTTTCCACTGTCAGGCACTCCACGATGAACGCCTCATCTTAATCACCAAGTATATCCTTATTATACGTTACCTGGAACAAAATAAAAATAATTAATATCGATACATTTTCAACGGCTAAAGAAATTAAAGAGTATGATTGACAAAACAAATTAAGAGTATCGAATATATTCAAAAGTTATTTAAAACCGAATAATCAAAAACATTAATGCAATAAATGCAAAATTAAGCAAGGAGATTTAACTCATGGT